TAGGAAATAGTACTAGTACTCTCATTTCAGTACGTGAATGTATGTGTACAAATGTTGTTTTCATTCTTGTTCCTGAATGCTTTACTTAATTTGGTTAGCATGGTTGCACTCACACAGCGTTACACGTTAATTGATGACATATAAAATTATTCGATGTGAATCATCAAAAATTCGTCGACATAATTCAATTATTTGGATTCATTCAGATGGACTAGTGGATTTCTTTCATTGTCATTAACACAGCCTCGATATGATTTATTGGCGATGGAGCGAATGTCTAAGTAGAAATAAATACATATATGACGAATGAAGGTAAAAATTATTATATGTATATTTACCAATCATGTTTTATTGTGAGCATCTCGTTTTTTGCACTCTCCTCTCCTCTCTTTTCCATGTTCTGCTCGACTGCATGCACACGCTCTCACTTGCAAGAATGCAACGTACAGCTAGTCGGTGAAAATGAGTATAAAACCTTGATCGATCATATATATTTCACTACAATAGGCTATTATCTGTTTACGATTTCCCTTCAATCTTTGGCAATATCCAACATATTTCTATTTTCGTAAGTGTAATGTCTTTTTTTCGGCGAATGCTCGGCGGAAATCAAGCAGATGATAATCTTCGTATTATTATCACGCGTCATGGCGAACGAGCTGATCTCGCATTTGGAAAGCAATGGTTAAATAAAATGCTTCAGAATGGCGGTCAGGATCCTCGAATATCACAGTTAGCTCAGCGTCCTCAATTTCGTGATTGGTATTACGATCCTCCTTTAACAGTTGATGGTGAACACCAAAGTGCGAATGTTGGTCAAAAGCTACTTCAGATGGGTTATCAGATTGACTACTGTTATTCATCACCAGCTTATCGATCGGTGCAGACAGCTACTAAGATCCTTGAAAGTCAAGGACGCAAGGCCGTTCCAATTAATATCGAACCTGGTAAATGAGCGAAAACAGATTTTATCATTTATCGAATAAACATTTAATTAACTTTTTATTTATCATTGAAGGTCTTTTCGAATGTCCATCGTGGTACGCTGGCAAACCATTCGTCTTTGTTCCTCCCGAGTATCTTGCTGCTGATAGAAGATTCAATGTTAATCCCGGATATGCACCGTTCTATTCCGGTGTCGATCCGACGGAAGATGAACGCGTGTATTACCGACGATCTCGGCATCTCATTCGTGAAATCATTCGCGCACATAAACATCAAGGAGGAACCGTTTTACTAGCAGCACATGGTGGTTCCATTGAAGCAGTCACACGTGGTCTGCGTGGCTTACGTCATCGACGCGGTCGACCCGAACATCTCATTCAGGAAGCATTAAGAGTCGATTATTGTAACTTTGCTATCTTAGAACGTGATGCACGTACTCGTGATTGGATCGTTCGATTACCTGAAGCACATAATGCCCCTTACGGTGCAGAGCTAACTCGGCAAAGTATTATACCGCTTTACGGTATTAGCACACAACACATGACTCAACAAAGCATGGCACAACTACGGCCACGTCCATCGTCACACTCTCGTCGACATCGGCATCGACATCCAAATCAGTACCATCATCATCATCGTTAATAATCACTAATTCATACTGTTGATTTCTTTTTTCATGTGTTTGTTACAGTTCGTTTTTTTCTGTTAGAAAGAAAACACAATTATAGTTTGAAATTTGCAAAAAAAGAGAAAAGAAGAGAGCAGAACGAAATTGTGACGTAGCTATATAATGTACCATACTAATTCTCATATAAATGCAACTGACTTGACCGAACGGGTTTGTTTTCTTACAAAAACAAACGATAAATATGTGTGTACAAGAAGAAGGAAAAAAGAAGGAGAACAACAACATAGAATGACTGTTCTAAACAATAAAATAATGAAGTATTGGCCGAGAGGATTTTGCTCTTTTACATTTTGGTATCTTCGATATCGTGATCGCTGCTATGGGTCAATTCGTAATGACTTCGTTCGCTATGAATGTGTGCATGATTCGCACCTTGAGCAATCATGATAAAAATCTATACAAACAAAACAAGCGATGCTTTTCGAAGTCATTGATAGAATCAGCTGTTTACCAAACTAATGATGATCAAAATCGACGATGCTGTTGTTACAATACTTAAACTGAAATAATCACGATAAGACTAAAAGCACAAGTAGCACACACAAATCAAATTGAATCGAATTTCAAAGATAGATTATACTCACCGGTTGACAAACATCAGCGAGCTTGAACTGTGCTGGCTTTTCATCAAATCGATGGGCATATTGGTTGATTTCGTTAAGAACTAGAATGGGTTTGATTTATACTAATCGTCGATGGTATCTCATCTTTAAACTTACTGTTAACAAAACTACCTCCCGCTGTAGCATATCGATTACTACATACGACAAAATAAACATAAAAAAGGCCATAAAATGGAAGAAATGTAAGACAAGCAATAGCGATCCATGAGATCGTTAATAAAAATGTAATCAGTAGAAACTAGAATAGACGAATGTTGATTGCATTAATCAAGAAAACGATTTCTTCATTGAACTTACAAAACCATTCAATATTCGTGCACAAATGTTCTTTCTATAACTCCAGAAATTCTTTCGACTCGCTTTTCCGCTGAATACACTCGCTAAGAAGACCGAACATAAGCCAAAAAGAAATGTAATTGTCACACCACAGCCCACAGTCAATCGACTTAGTTGTAAACTAGAAAATTTTAATCATTCTTGTGTACAGTCATTCATCTGTCAACTTACCATTGTTGGCATGACCATTTTCCACTAAATTGAACTTTATATAACGTATAAATTGTTGACATCGTGAATAGCACACATCCAATCATGAGAAGTAGAAAAGAAATCAATGATGGGTACGGCGTTTTGTAGATCATGATGAGCGAAGTGAACTTTAGCTTGGTCTGAAAAACAAAACTTGAGAAAAACAATATTTATTTATTATCTTTTCAACATAGTTAGCATCGTGATACAGAATATTGCTGAAAGGATAATGAAACACTTCGCTTCTTGATTGCATAATGGCAATCTGATGATGGGTGAATGTTATTGAAGGGAAAAAAAGAGAGCAGAAGAAGAAAGATTATTCTACAATTGATAGACACACACATGCACATACATAAACACGTAATCAGTATCACCGTTAAGTATTACGCAAACGGCGAGAGAAGAGAAACGCAGGAAAATCTCTTCTAATTTTCAAAAATCAATCTTTTTTCATCTGTTGCTCAATTTTTCTTCCGCTTTTTTTTATGATCGCGCATGCACTTCAAACAAATTCAANCGAAATTCGATGTGGACACAAGTCTTTCTTCGGACAACTGCGTGATTCGTTAAAAACTCTCTCCAATCAATAAACTTCAGGTAATAAAAAAGAAAGAGGAAGGTAAATTGAGCGTCCTATATGGCGCACATAGGTCATTCAATTTCAACCGAACGAAAGAAAGAAGACAGAAAAATGGTTCAAGGTTATCTTTTTTCTTTATTTCAAAATCAACTCTCAGAGACAACCGATTAATTAACGAGTTCTTTTCAGATCAGTATGAATATAATATTGATTCTTTTTTTGGTATTAGTCTATATTCAGCGAGGACCTGGTATGAATGACTTTCACGTGTGCTTGTCATTTTGTATCGAAGAAGTTTGATGATTTAGTTGATGGTATTCAATGTTATCAGTGCAGTAGTGAAGAAGATGAATTTTGTCCCGCATTCGGCAAATTTGATGAAACAAAAAATGCACTGGTAGATTGTTTCAGTTTAGAATCATATGTGCCTGGACATATGTGTATGAAAATGGCAAAAGAAAGTTTCGATACATTTTATGGTAAAGAACGTTATTGAAATTTTTCTCGCTGAATCATTGTGTTTTTTTTAGCAAAGGGATGGAAAACTGTGATACGTTCCTGCGCATCGAGATCAACGTTAGGTGTTGCTCAAGGTTGTCGATATTTCATAGATGAAGTCGGCCTAGAAGTAGCTGTCTGTGTAAGTCATTTCGAATTATAAATATGTTGACTATTTTACGAGATAGAAGATTCGAGAGTTTACTGACTTTTATTTGTACGTGAAGTTCAAACAATCTTCTAATTTTAGTACTGCGAAAATCGTGATGGTTGTAATGGTAGTTCGATGAAATCACATTCCATACTATTGCTTATACTAGCACTCACTTCCGTCCTTTCTCTTCGATGGTCCAAATGCGAATAATTACAACTGATGCTAATTTGTACATATCTATTTCGTTTTCTACATTACTCTCAGTTTTATGTGTATCTCATGAATTTGTTTTTTTGTATCTTTATAAAAATTATATTAGCCAAATAAAAAGAATAATAGAATGATAAGAAAAATGAGTTCTTCTATAGGAGAAGAACAACATGTTATTAATTTCATTCTGTGATCAAACCAAAAAGAGAAATCTGTCGGAGGTGCTGCGAACCAAACACTATGATAGGTATGAAAGCTCAAACTATTACGTGTACTTCTGTTGAAATTAACGATACATTCAGACTAATTCCATTGCGAAGACAGTGCTTCAGACGACTACACATGGAATATATCGAAGCACTGAATTCAATACGTACACTCTCCCTCTTTGCGTTACACGATGAAGATTGAATGAATTATTACACTTGGAACAATCGTTCAGAATTCTGAAAGTTGCGTTGCAAAACATTCTCAGCTATCGCATTAAAATTGATTTTAGCGCCATCTGTTGTCTAAAACTATATAGCTTGTGTAGTCTTAGATCGTCTCAACGATACTAAGCCTGATTCACGTTGTCAACGTTTGTTCTGCGTGTAGTACATTCTTTGATATAATCGTCGGAAGATAATTTTTCTCGTCGAAGTGGCAATTGCATACAAGACTATCGAAAAATCGTTTGAATAGCGGCAAACAAAATGTGCTGTTTTTTCTATTTCAATGTAAACAAGATAATTTAATGGAACTATGTTACAAATACAAAACAAAAAGAATTTAAAAGTAACATCGATTAATCGTTGTTGCCATTGTTGTTTCATCTTCACTTTCATCGTCTTGATCGGTAATTATCTGTGAATTATTCCGATTGTTATCTGATTTACTTGCATGACGAGTCTGTGTGTACATGTTGTCATATTCCGACTCGAGATTTGATAGTACACCCTCAGATAGGTAATCAGGTCGCGAGGATGCAATATCACTCTGATCGGATGCAGGTATGGATGATGAATCGGTTCGTTTTGGGAGCTTTCTCTTTGGATTGATATTCTCGTATTGAAGAGGACGATTTCTGTCATTGAGAGATTCATGTCGGACGAGTTGATTGGCTTTTCGAAGTGTCTTGTAACGAATGTGATGGTAGGGACGTTTTTTTGATTTGGTATTCAGAATCGGAAATGTATTCTCATGGAGAGTATCTGATTCGTTATCTGTTGAATCATTTTCAGTCGTCGAATATTGTTGAAGTTTTTTCGGAAGAAGAGGTGGAGTTTGTTTCACATGACAGCGGAATTGATTCAGTTGATCTTCAAGCCATCGTTGTAACATATCAGGATGAAATAGAGCCGGAGATTGTCTTTGTTTTGATTGAAGACTAAAGGATATAGAACAATGAAATGATTTGTTTTAGACAAATGGGGAAAAGTCTTACTTAGTTAGATTATTATAACTCGAAGAGAATCGCGTCCGTTGGAGGGCTCTCGCTTGATAAGCATTGTTTTGTGTCCATGGGTCATGATGAATAGACATTTCACTTTCAGACGTATCCGCAATTAGTTTACGTGCTAAGTTAAATGGTAATTGACGAAAAGTAGACTTAGCCTGCTGAGAATTGTTCGAAGGAACAGCAGAGTTCGCTTCATTCGTAGTCATGTTCACTGTAAATGATACATCGAATGTTTGCGAAGGGTATACATCGTTTTGTGGTGGTGATGTGTTCGATGTTGAATTGAGATCGTTGGCCGCGGGTACAGAAGATGAAGGTGGATCATCCCAACCAGAGAATGATGATGCCGTTTCTTCGTTCGTTGTCGATAAACTATGAGATGCATGAATCGGATCTTTGGACGATTGATCCTGAAGTAACTGATAACAGTTATCTTCGAGAGATATCTTATGTTTGGAAGATGCTGGACATTTCGATGACGACGAAATCGATTTACATAGATTCGTCTCATCTAGTACGAAAGAACATTGATTTGTTTGTTATTTTCGATTTAGTCGAACTTACCTATCGGTTCATTGATGAGTTTCTGTGTCAGCATGATGCAAGTACTATCATTGGCAATTATTTCTCTCAATGCCCAACCATTGTTTTCGTTTGAATTAATCTGATTCTTCAGTTTCCGAATCGGATTGATTTGATGTAAATTATTTGCCGTCGGATTCAATGCTTGCAACAACGTGTCACGATACAATGCTTGACTAGGACGTAGATGTTTTCGTGATGATTGCTTCAATAGACTTTGTTGATCATTGACCATGTCCGAAGATGTCGTTGTCGTTGTTGTTGTTGTCGTCGTCGTCATTGAAAGATTTTTATCACGTTGAGAAAATTGGGAATGGTGAGATTCGTCTGTACTTGAAGATTTAGGAATTGTATCATTGTTCGGTTGATTGATTACCAATGGAAGAGTGTTTCGACCCTGAAAACATTAGATTTCATCGGATATCTAAACGAATGAAGTTGCTATCTTACTTGAAAGACATTATCTCCGATAAGACGTCCGAGTAGAAAGTAAATGTTGGTATTATTTTCAATATTCATCTGTGCATCGATAATTGAGCCAGCTGTTCGAAATAGATACAGATCATTGAGTAACTGATAGACAGATGATGTTACTAAACAATGATTCAATTGAATTTTGGAAATTAGCAATTGCATTAGAGAGAGGTGTTCACTCCAGAGATCAAGTTTGGGATATTGTATGAAGTGAACGAGGATTTCATCGACCGAGCCAATGTGCAGACAAGCGGTGAGATTGACTTGATGAGTTTTGAGATATTCTTCAATTTGAAAGAGCAATTCAACTAAATTCTGGATCGATTTTGACGAATTTTGTATATCAAGTGATAAAATCACTTCTTTTATATTTGATTTTCTATGTAGGACGATGTCTTGATACTTTTCGTTATTTCTCATCAAATATTCAATATTATTTATACAATTGACCAAAGAATGTTCATCTTTCGTTATCAATGGACTAAAACGAATGTATAACAAACCCATTCGATCATATTTCTGATGATAATGTTGCGTCAACGACAGATTCCAGTTCGTATTCAGATAATAATCAATCACACGATTTGGCAACACAGATGAAACTTGTTTCACCAGCTGATTGCGCTGTCGAATAATCATTAGTCGTTCGTTGTCAATCTGCTTCAACCAAAGAAAATCGATTTTCTCCAGCCATTCGTATATGTACGAGAAAATAATCAGAAGAAGATTATGAAAAATAACCAATGTAAATGAAGTATAATGATGTAAAGCATTTATCGAAGGAAAATAGGTACTTGTTGTTAGCCAGACATATTCTAAGATGTATAATTGAAGAATTGTACAACAAATGATGAAGAAAGTCTTGATCATCCATGAACATTGACGGAATAACGTACAGAAATAGAGTGGATAGATCGGAGCTACTACCAAATAGTTATGATATCGACGATCAAAGAACGATTCACTAAAAAAAGATAAAACATTCTCGATGATAAATTACAAAACGCGACGAAGGCGGGTGATACTATGCATGTCAAGTGTATCTACTAGTCACGCCTACGCTCTCGAGTTGATTAATTAAAGAAGGCAGTTTTGTCGTGAGAACGGAAGACTTTTGGACCACCCCTTACTTTACCTGTTTAAATGAGTTTTTGTTGCTGACGATGATTGATTCGAGTTTGTTTCATTGTCCGATATAGTTGACATGAATAAATATTTAAAATTTTGTATCGAATGAAATTGAATTGCGACGAAAATCAACGTTGTTAATGTTAAACAAATTAAAACATTCAAATATACGTAAAATTTCTTATTAATTTCCGAATTTTCTATACGAATTATGTAATAAAAGCTCATAATTAAAATAACTAATCCAATAATAATCATGGGAAAGGATACTAGGTATGTAAAAGTTAAATGGTTAATCACAAATGATTGTAACAATGAACCGAAGAGAATTAGTAAAATAAAACTATAGAGAAAGTTGCTTGGACGTGCTGTTCGATGAATACTTTGGAAATCTTTTGTTAAATATTTATCACGAAAGTTCAAACCGAACCAATGAATATGTTCCGATGTCAATTCGAATAAACTTCGTTTCCGAAGCGAACGCGATAACGTGATCGTTCCGAGATGTTTTTCCACGTAATATTCCGCTTGTATACGTGTCAGTTGATCGATCATGTTCGATGTATTCATCAAGATCAATCCGTGATGAAACGGTTCGTACATATTGGTATTGAAAAGCAAATAAGTGGAATTGTTGGTGATCATCGAGAACTTATAAAAGCAATTGTCTTTGAGAGAGTCGTAGATTTTGTGAGAAACATGAATCCGATCTCTAACAGGACATTCTTCACGCAACCATCGAGAATAATCAGTAGCTGAACCATGTAGAAATCGAGAAGAGATGACGGTGACTTGATTATAATCAATTCCGATAACGATGGTCAAATTCCATTGCGTTATTTGATTAACATGTTGAATAAAACGAAATAATTCAATTGCCAAACGACAACTATTGTCAATATTTAATTGTTCATTATGATTTTCATTTAATAGACCAATGATCAATGTTTCATTATCGAAAACATATGTCGCTTCCGGTTGAATTTGGAGAATTAATTGTTCAATCTGACAGTAGAGTACATCGATCAGTGACGCTAATTCGTCGCACGTATGAATTCGGGTTTGTTCATTTAATGAGATCGAACAATTAATGATTGTACCATGTTTTGTTTGACAACTAAATCAAAAAAGAACTTTCTTTTTTTCAACTTTCCCTCAAAACATTCCTTGAGTAACATCAGATGCCTAGAAAATTGTTTATTTACATTCTTTAGGACTTATCACTTAACGGCAAATTTACTCGGGAAATACGAGCTGTCGATAGCATATGTACGAGATAATAACATCAACGTTCTAGTTGACGACGAAATACAGATCATTAACATACTAGCCTTCGTTCTCGACTTTCTTTTCGATTGAGTTGTACTGTGTCTAGTGAAGATAATCAAATCGCTCCTAATTGGCTCCATCGAAATGAAAAGGTCAGTCTCCTCCTGTGATACCTAACGATGATATAATCAATACAAAGAATCTAACATCATTCGATAATTCTTTTTATAACAAATCTCTTCATTTACATTCGAAGTCGTTTACTCTAGTGTTTAGAGATAAGATTAATCAGGTTGATTGCTACATACTTGCTCCCTAATGTTGTTGGTGCTTGTTGGAAATAGCCGATGATCGTATGGAGTTTCTTACAGTCAACGTTGGACTTGTTCTTTTCGAATAGATTGGTTTTATACGCATAGAAATGTTGACGGATGTGGTTGATCGAACTCACATAAGAATACAAACCGGTTAAATTCAGAATGAAATGATAAAAGACGATCGAACAGAACTCCGCTGTTTTCCAATGTAACGAATTGTTCAAAAAGATATAAAGTACGGAAATACTTAACGAAATCACGAGAGATTGAAATAGTGTGAAAGTTAATAGTGAATAAACGAGAAGAATCGAAATCGACGATAATAACAGATGAAATTGTTCAGTTTGATACGTGATAATCAATGGAGTAATAAGAAGAAAAACGAGGAGAAAACGCGTGAAAAGCCAGAGTCGTTTTCGTTTTGAATGTAGGCGTACGAGTAATAATAAAACGATAGATAAAAAAATCAATATACAATACGTTTGTGTACGAATGTCAAATATTTGTTTTGATAATAATAAACGACAGAGAAATAATGCGAAGAAGTTCATTAAGAATAATAACGGAAGGAAAATTTTCAAACATATTTTACTTAGTTTATTGAGAAACTTCTTATAATAAAAATTCAAATCGTCACAATCGTTCATATGATGTAATTGAAAAGATTTTCTCCATAGATGTTGCAAATTGCTTGTTGCCATTCTAGAAGAAATTCAAGCAAAGTATATCAACGTTGACACGAATGAAAATTCTATCGGTAGCATGTTTTTCAAACAATCGCACGTCTCTGACGCTATTTTCAGCTGAATGAATGATCGCGTCTGTCGCGTCTATCTTTCTCGATATGTGTATGTGTATTAATGATGAATTATATGTACGGTATGTGAAGTGTTCGATGGTAGACGAAGTGGAAGAATTTTTCTTTCTTCTTTCTCTCTTCTTCGTCTCATCGACTAGAGTAACTGTACTGCTATTGCTGGTACGCTGTCTTTTCTTTTTCTTTGCTTTACTTGTTCAAAAGTGTTTGAATCGTATTTATTCTACTCGTGCTGACCTCTGGTCATATGTATTAAAAGCTCATATACTTACCGTTTTTTTTTCCTACTTGTTGCTGACGACATCAGTTTAACACATCGTATGAACGCGAAGAAAAAAAAATATACATACAGGCGACAAAGAGCGAAAAAAAAATCAACGACAAGAGAACGAGAGCTTGTCTGGCATCGATGAGATGTGTGATGCAATGAGATAAATAAAGCGAAGAACTTGAACGGTTTGTGTGTCGACGTATTCAAAGTGCTACATACACACACTTCCTGTGCGCAAGTAATGTGAACGCAAACAAGTTTTACTGTATGCGTCCAAGCGGCGAACTGCGAGTTTGACTTTGGTGAATACCAATTCCAGAGGAGAAATCCGGATATGAAGAAGAATTGCTAAACTTATTAAGATATTATGGGAATAGACAGTCATTTACAAGAGAATCCAATTGCTAATGAACCTTACAATGTGTCGTCTCGTTGTTTTATATAAAGCAATTTAGCTACGACTCATCAAGGTTATCACCTCTTGAGATCTCTGAAGACGTGCAACTGCTGCCGCACTCCTTTTTTTTTACTAATTTTCATTACTCAATGTCAGACAATTTCTTTGCTAATTCATACGATGATGTAATCACAATCGAGAACAAAAAAAAAGAACAAGAATGGATGAACAAGGAAAGAAACTCGACACATTATATGTTGACAGATGTATTGAATATTTCGAACATCGAGGACAGATTATCCGATCAGTTGTTGTTCTTCTTCATCGTCATCTGGATATATCAACGCATGTTCTAACGACCGTCGTTTCTGTCTCATTCCTAAGAGAATCAACTGGATCTCAATGAATAAGCGACCTTTGTCAAAGTGTTTTTATGAATAAATGTGTTTATACATATATACGTACATATCTTTTTCCTTTTTCTAACCGCTAGGCATATATACAAGGACTATGATTGTATTTTAATCAGTTTCATTATAAAATCAATGCGCTTACCTTTTTTTTCTTGAAGACTACAGAGGAGAGAAAAGGGTGAGAGAGAGAAAATACGGCTTGATTCTTTTCTCTCGCCTTCTCTTTGCAAAGTTACAGCAAAGATTAACAAATCTCGACATGCATAATATCAATTAATAAAAGTCTACGCCTTTTCTTCTTGTTGGACACGCCAAAGACTAATTGTATCAATACGTTGTATACATTCGAACGAGCGAATGAATCAATGAATGACAAACGAGCCTGATAGTTCATTACTGTTCTACACGGAAGGACAAAGTGCTGCTTGTAATCATCATGTTGTACACGCGTGATTTCCTTTGCAGAGGAAGATGGTAAGAAGAGACATGCCTCTCTTCCTTCCCTTCTTTCTCTCTATCTCTCGCACACTCTTTGTAACAGGAACAGAATGATATGAAACCTGTTTTATATATTGATAGAAGAATCTTTCATTTAATGTAATTGCATTGCTGATTACATAAGCAAACAATAACGAAAGACTAATAATCATCAAATGATAATAACAATACGTCATAGCCAAGGGACTCAATTTGATTGTTACATTAAACTTTCATTTGTCTTGATGTATTTATTTGATACCATGTGAAGATGTCAGACGAACTGTCTATTCTCAGCAGAAATTTACAAATAATCATCATTCGGTTACGTCGTTTCTTTTCACATATCTGATGACCTGCTGGTTACTTGCAATGCGAACAACCATTGTTAATCCACTTAGTTAACTTTTTTTTCTTGTGCTTCTTTCCTCTAGACAGATGAAAGCTCGCCCCAGTTGGTCAGCAAGGCTCTTACACATATGTAAATGAAGCCGATAGCATATGAACTGAAAATGATCGCCATTGGGGGGTCACTTGGCATTCAATTTTTTTCCTTTTCCTCCTTTTTCACTCCTATTGCTGGTTGAATACAATGACTGAGAAATCGTCCGGTCAATTGGTCCACCACTGTCATTGATTCGAATCATCATGTCGTTGTATTTGTTTATATTATTTATCTTTCATCTTTATTTTAAGTCGATTTCTGCAATTGAAAATCAATTGAACTGTAAGATCTTCGAAACGATCATCACCTGTTCGATAAATTGATGTTGTTTTTTTTAAGTTTATATGGATAATCAAACGTTATGTAATCAGAATCTAGTCGATCTAACCGATATACCAACTTGGAGGGTATATTCGCACACTCATTTTCATGTAAAACTAGGAATTTTCATTTTTTTTTGCACATCGATTGAATTACTTTCTTTAGAACAAGTATATGTACTTTGTCGATACGCACTGTTCGATAACTATTCGCACGACTAAACGTGTGTGGATGTCGATCGAGTATTTCCAATCGAATTCCAGTTCGTCGTTTCCACGTTGTACGGAAGCGAAATATGCGGGTGTTGATGACCGATTGCAAATCATTGATGTAAATCGTATAGGAGTTTAGTTGAAATTCAAAAGAGAATCTTGTTCAATTTAGGGTTTCAAAACCGGTTCGATTTTACGGATTATCTGTGGCAAAGATACTGATCAACGTTTCGATCGGACAGCGCTGATTCTGAAAAGTTCGATATTTACAATCGACTGGCAAACGAAAAGTCAAGGGTTGGGTTTCGAATTAAAATTTGTCACTTACGATCTGTCCAGTAATGGGAAATGTTTCAATTCAAGTCAATTCTACTGTCAAAATCGGCGATGTATTGATTCGTCATTAATATGTTTCGACAAAGATTATTGCGGTGATAATAGTCATTTGAATAGTGTCGAAAGAATGAAACAATGTCGAACAAGTGAGACTTCATGAAATGTTATTGTAACTGGGCATCCTAATGATGTTTCTATTGTAGGAATTTCAAAACAAAAACTTTATAATTGGTCATGGATGTTCATTCTGTCGCTTGTTTGTTGTTGTATATTGATGTTAGTTCTTGTAACTGTCGGAAAGCTCTGTCAACAGCGGCGAAAAAAATAAAGCCCATCGAGTGAACTCCTTCTGACCATGAGCATGTCAAGTTTTTAATCGCATAAGTCAAGCAGTGAATGTCTTTAGAAAAAAAAAGCGGATTGCGTAAAACAGTCGTCGATGAGTGGAGAGCGTTAGAAAGTAAAGAACTCAATCTGAATTCAATTTATTTCTATTCAAGTATGTTTAATCGAATTGAAGTTTTTCTTCCAGAAGTTAAACAGCACTTATCTTTATGTTAAATCAACTTCTATTGAACAATTTTACACAATATCTTTCTCGCGGAGAAAGTCATAATCAGCCTTGGGAAATTTAAAAATACATGACTTTGTTTCTTTCTGTCATCGTTGTCCACTGATTTCAGTCCTATGCGTTGCTATTGACATATGAATGTTAGTTATTGAAGAACTCAATCTGAAGACAAAACTGTTTATCTAGTATTTGTTTTTCTTACTACACATTCTCTCCCGGAAATAAAGAAGGGAAAATACAATGCAAATCAAGCCTTTCTCTGTGGAAAAATCAACTTAATAAAAGAGAGAAAGTATGTGATTTTTTCAAATGAAAACTCTCGCTGTCTGGTCCAGTCAAAGTTTTTTTGTTGTCGGAAGAAAAGAAGTGTGAAAAGTATATATTGATTCAAGCAAGTATGTCTTTGTATTCATTTTGAACGGGAGTCTTATTCAAATATAATAGCAAGATCTTCAGTCGCACAACACACCATTTTCTTCAGCAATCCAATGGAACAGTTCGCCAAATTGCTTTTGATATCAATCGCTATTCTTTCTTTGGCGATTATCACCGTCGATTCGACAACTGCTGCCTACACCAATGACTCAACTGACTCGACAGATAATAGTACTGATATGAATCAAGGTGGAAGCAATGTCTCCACAACGACAGTCGGGTCGACAACAGCCGGCAATAGATCCTCTAGCGCAGCAACACATCACCTGCAGCAACAACCGCTGATCATACCTTTCACAATCTTTGCAGTCTTCATGCTACCGTTCGCTCGTCTTCGTCATTTTATGTAAACAATCATTATATACCGGACTCCATATATACTGCATTTTTTTATGTTGTTGTGATGCGCTTGCTTGCTTTCATGTGTAACACATTTTCCCTTTCCTCTCACCTTTGCTACTGCATATGGAATACATTTGCCAAATAAATAATCTCATATATGATCGAAATAATCGAGCAATCACCTTGCAGAAGATTTCCATATTGTTTTTATTCAATACACAACAAAAAAAAATAGTTACTAACATTATGTAAGACAATTCGCTGCACAAAAATAAATACGGGTAGAAATCACTTGATATTCTCTGAAATGTATGGAAAAGTTAGACTGATCAGCAAGTCAACTCTTGGTCATGTCATATTTTTTCATCTATGGAGGTAGAATAGAATAATCGCTCGTCATTGTCGATCTTTCCAACGAGATAATCATCGTTCATAGCGGGATCATTGTTAGAATGAGAACAATAATCGAATTCCTTCTCGGATGAAAGCATTGCCGAATGTGATGCTACACCATCTAAATATTGATAGAAGTGAAAAGGTTTTTCTGGAAATTGAACAGTGAATTTTACTTGTATTCAAATGTTGAACCAATGTTGATAGAGCAGATGTTAGAGAGTCGGCGGCCAGAAGTAAATCTGTTCGTACTAAAAGACAAAGGAAAAGTTGAGATGACGAAAATGAGAGCTAAGATTTCTCTTTTACGATGGTTCATGAATTGATGATGAACAGGTGTTGCTGGTGTTGAGTAACTTCGATATGTCACTTTCTTCGAGGCACGTTGAAGTGAATTTGTGTGCCATGGCGACGCTGTGGAACGATTGTGCGGACTAGTCGTAGCAGATCTTTGTCGTATATGAGAGGAAGTATGTAGAATTCTTCCTAAATGATCTAATTGTGCTGTTACTTCTTCTCGGCTTTGTCTCAAATGATCAATACGGGATTCTAAGTGGTCTTTTCGTGCTAGCAGAGTTTCTAATTCGTCTTCAGCATAGTGAGTTCGATTCATTGCCGTTTCCGCTGAACCAGCAGGTCGCATCGTATGATAATGATCATCTAAATATTCATCATCGAAGCTCAATGTGTGGTGGGGCACTTTTCGAGCATGTTCCTGGTCTATTGTACAAAAGACATCGACATCCTGATCAGCAGCGCGAAGATAGTCCAACGATCGATACTTGAGTTGTGCACGTAATGTTTTGATTTCATGAAGTATACGTCTAAAGTATCGATACACTTCTTTGGCTATAAGACGTTCTTTTCTTCGTACCTGTTTTCTGCTTCGAGTTTTGAAATCAAAAGCTTCTTCTCCGCACTGCCACGATCGGTATATCTCTGTCGAAACCGAGTTTCATCCGGTGAGTTCGAATCGTAATTATCTACAGCGGAAGCAAGCTGTTTCGTGTATAATGATATATCTCGATGTTCGCTTGATTGTTGTTCTCGATCGACTGTGAGCGAACTGGAAAATTGATAGCGTTTATTATTCTTTGGCATGCATTTCAATGATCTGAAAAGGACAGAAACGAAGTTGAAGATGAATTCGATTTGAGCTGCTTTGTTCACTCACTTTCGAATGGATTGTCGGAAATCTTTATTCGGCGGAGTGAAATATGTGTATTCTTTCATCTCATGTGTTGACAAATGTTGTTCGGATGTTCGCCCACGCCAGAAACAATCTTGACATAATTGATACGTTCGATTATGACATTGTTGACATTTATAACGAAAACCCGAAAATGACGGCCGCTGACAAGCTGAACATTTGACGCGATGAATGACTAAATGAAAACACATCGTGTCATGTAAGTTCTTCTTGTTTTCTGCTCAGTTCGCTTTTTTCGACAGTGAATATTCAGGTCAAAATGTAGTGAAAAAATGGAGTACATCATTGCAGAAACGTTAGGAGAAAACTTACCATTTTCTACACTGATCAAACGGTAAAATATAATCAACCATTGCAGACAATTCGGTGTCCTATTTTGGTAGATTAACATTTGAAGAAATTCGTCGAGTGTTATCGATGATGATTGAGAAAATAGCAATCGTGCATAATTCGTACAATAAGTGGAATGTGAAATTTCTTGCAGTGCATATGGTAATGCCAAAATTTCATGTAAAAGTTCATCTATCTGCCCATGAGTTAACGTATTTGACAATGAAGTGGAAAAACAAGATGTAAATAAATGACGTAGCTTATCGATCAGTTTACCAGAACATAGCAAAATCAATACAACACGGAATGAATTGAAACTAACAATAAAATCACCGGCATTGTAAACATATAGAAGCCAAGCGATAGCTGAGTGAACGCAATTGTCGATGTGATGAATTTGTTGTGAGATTGGCAAACGTTTATTTAAATTGGTGTAAATAGACGTGAGAAAACCGGTTAGTTGTTTGACTGAAAGATATTTATCGCTGTTTGGTAAAAATGACGGTGTCCGAGATTTGATTGGTGTTGTGTTAGCGGAAGTGAGATCGAACGATAAATTTTTATAAGCTTCTCGGAGTGCTTCAACGACATTGATAAGATCGAGCAGATGAACTAGAATATATTAGAGCAAACCGATTGGAGTCATCTTCGACTTGAAAAAATATTTACAGTTTAATCTCTTTTGGATAAAACGTAATTTACATGCTGTTCGGTACGTAGAAAATCGAATCAGATCAAAGTTCTGAGCACCTATTCATGAGAGAAATGATTGATTTGTCAATTAGAAATTTATCAAACATACGCAACTCCATTTGTAATTGCTGTAATTCATTACTAAAACGTGCATTCATCATCCCATCGGAACACAATGAACGAATGCCGAGAGGATTTTCTTTTTCCACCAAACGGAAATTGAACGGATGGATCTATCCTGAAATAAAAACGATTCTGTGGATTGGTTACATTGAATTGTCGATGAATTCCGAAAAGAGGGAAAAAATAAATGAAGATGGCGCACGTTGTAGTATCTAATACAAATGTCTCTTCTGTTCAGACGTTTGCACTGACAACATTCGCTAAGTGTACCTGATGATATATCTCGATCATCGGAGTAGTTTCTCTTCTCTTCTCTTCGACTTATTAATCAAACAAGCTATAGTAATGTTGAACAAAACGCAAACAAAAAATATTGATGAGAATCAATGCACTAGTGAATACCGCAAAGCAATTTTTCGGATGAAAATATGTTCATGTTTATAAATATTTTAGAACAAGCAGAAAAAGACAAATAAAAACTCAGATCTTATTTACCGTTTGTTGATACCATATGCAGCTGTGTGATTTATTCATTTTTGCACTCCTGATAAGCGCTCGTTTTTCATACGCAAAAATGCAATATAAAACAAAAAAAAATTAAGAACGAATATTTAGTCAATTTCAAAATCGAAATGATCAACTGGAATCGACGATTTTGCGTTATTTTTTTCGTCTTTTGCTTTATATCTCTCATATTCCTTACCAGTCATCACTCTCCACGTTCACTGAACCAAATCAGTGAGTCTAACTGTCGACTATCATGGCTTGAAAGTGACGAATTCTTTTGTGAAGACGACCACGATTGGCAACGTCGAAAAGATCGATTTTATCTTCAACATAACCGCAATCAATTCTCCGGTCCGCATTATATGTTCTTTCAAGATAACTACGAACCAACATTCTCCTGTCGATTCGAACAACGTCTTGGATGCAACGGCGATGGTGGTAAATGGATATGCGATCCCTATCGTTTACAAAATAAGTCATCATGTTTAATCTACAGTCTTGGTTCGAATGGCGAATTCAGTTTTGAGAATGAAACGAAACGTTTGTTGCCCAATTGTGATATTCACACGTTCGATAGGAAACAATTCAACTGTACAGAGATTTGTACATTTCATCAGGCAAGCATCGGAAGTGGGCTGCATGGTACAAAATCATTGCGAATGATCATGTCGGAGTTAAATCACACAGAACAATATCTCGATATTCTGAAAATCGATATCGAAGGAAGTGAATACGAGCTCTTCAAGGATTTATTCAATACAACTGATGACCTAAGTGAAAATATTCGTCAGATACTTGTGGAAATACATCTATCGAACCTTGTGAAGAACGTTAATAACGAGACGATTTATGATTACAAACCTGCTCATAATCTCTTTCAGCTATTTCATGAGAAAAACTATGTCATCTTTCACAAGGAAGTCAATTTATACAATCCACACAAGGCGTTTGAATTCAGCTTTATCAGAATGAATAAGAAATTCTTCTCTATCAAAAAACAATCCAACTTAACCGAACATTGACACTCTGTGATAAATGAAATGTGCAATCTCATCCGCGTGTTTTTTACTTAATAAAAAGTGTTACAATAAAATCATTGAAGTCCCTATCCTGTCTTGTTCTGCTGATCTTCAGCGACATCTATGCGAAACTTTCGTTTCTATTGGTAAACGGCCCATCTACTGTATAGTTTATTTGTAAAACAGTCGAATGTTTTCTTATTTACTTCTATCTAGTAGATTGAATATAATCTAAATCGATCTTTTTATTTCAATAGATAATAGCAAGATGCGTCTGTCATTAAATCGATTGGGTATGGTTTGGGGTAGAATTGGTCAACAACGTGGCAAAGTACGTCGAATGATTTCCTTTACATATATTCTTTGATTCGTTTGTTTCCTAGGTTGAATATACCCTTTCACCATATGAACAAAACCCATACGCTGGTGTGCTTGGTGATGTTACATATCGATATTATTCACGACTTTTCAAAACCATTTTGACGTTCTGGGTACCAAATATTTTACTTGGCTATTCGATCTATTCTTGGGCCAATTGGGAACATGATCGATGCGTACGAAAATTACCCAGTCAATTTGCCGATGAAAAGCCACCTGAAGAAGAAGCCGGCAATGAACAGAAATAGACAATGAAATGAACCTCGAAAATCCATTTCCTTCTCCTACGTTTTCTAGTATACATCCCGTATTTTCATTCTTTCGCTAACCGCGTAGTATAAAGTTGATTATGTCATTAAAAAAGAACGTACTTCTTTGTTTGAATAAATTACAAAGACTAACAACCACATAGCTTATTTCGTAATTGTAGATCATCGTCACGAAGAAATTGTCTATCAATATGTCAGGTATTCTTGTTAGGAAACGAGAATTTCGAGAAACAAAATGTCGCGAGAATTTGAAGAAAAGACGAATAGGTTTTCTTTTCTCTTCAATAGATTTCTATCAATTGACCAATTCTTCTTCGGATTTCAAATCGCGTTCAAACGACGTTTTCGATAAACTTGTCAATCTTGAAAAACAACATGATGTACATACCAAAACCCAAACTTCTGTCATTATAACCGATGAAGAAGCGCCTTCAACAATACCACGAAATCCAACTATTCCAAGTCACGCAATCACATTTAAAAAACGTCCAGCAGACGATACATTCGCTCGACCAGCGGATAAATGGAAAAAATACGATCTGGACGATGTCAATGAACATCACTTAAGTAGTAGAGGTAATCAACATGCACTGAATGATTTTCTGCGGACACGTGTCAAGTCTTCGGTGACCAAAGATAGCGATCACGACAAAGAAGAAGAAGATGTTCAATCACAACTAATTTTTCGTCGACCGGTAAAGAAACAAATTCTCATCGATGATGAAGATAATCAATTTATGCCCGTTCGAGCACCGGTATCAATCGCGACGACTGTAGACACAAAAGATAATGATGATGACGACACCATCCCGCAATATAAACTAAAGTCAACTCGTAAGCAAACGCGTGGTGTGGCAAGTACAAACGAAAAGAAATCGACGAAATCAACCACGGATTCATCGACGAAAACCGATCCGAAGGAAGAGGAGAACGAGGATGACGATATCGATGATAATGATGATGAATTTTTCGAACCTTGAGCTAAACCTTCTATTTTTAATTATAAGTCAATAAATTCATTCTTTTCATCGTTGTTCAATACCAGAAAAAAACAAACATAAAATGAAAAAACAAACACCTTTGACATCTGACTTTGCATACAAATTCATATACACGTTACATGTACAACAATGATGTTTTGGAACTTTTATTTCCGACTAGGACAATAAAATAACAAGAAAAAAAAAGGAAAGCACAGACAAAAAACGTTCTTCATTTTTTCTAGACTTTTTCTTCACAAAGACAAAACACTGATATTAATTGTAAATAAAATTGAAGCGACTAAGTGCTTGTGGTAAACTTGAGATGATCGGTCCATAGCCCGAAGCATTATCATAGAGTTCAAATAGAGGTGCAGCGACTAGTTTGTAATTGCGTGGCACAGCGAACATTGCCGATTCACCAAGTTGAACAAGATATAGTCTAAAACGAAAGATAATCGATGGCAATAAATATCACTGAAAATTACCGAATGTGTTCTTTTGGTTTTGTGATATGAGCGGGAATGTATGGATATCGTGGTGCTTCAAAATTCGGTCTCCACCAATTGCCAATCACATCTTCTACGAGCCAATTGTTTTGTTCACTCGACTCTGGCCGACCTATAGTTTCATTTAACAAACGCTTCAAACCTTCAACGGGATCTTCGCCTGGATTGAGTTCACCACCTAAGATGCAAAATTGAAATGCAGAGATTATGTCTATCATCGTTTCTCATACCGGGCAATTTGAAAAAGGTTGTACCTAATTGTAAAAGGAGTATATGAGGTAGATTATGTTCATGTACTAAGAGAACCGCTTCAACACTGCGTCGAACACCCAATGTTGTGAATTCTTCTCTCATACGTTGAAATCTTGCTTGGACAGAACTATCACGCTCGTACAATGGATCTTTCGTTCCAAATGTATAGTTTGTTAATGGATACGTTTGTATTGTTCGTTCTAATGCTGTCGTTTCAATTAAATGTCCATTATCGCAAGACGCTATCGTTGAAGATTTAAGTGTTGAATTGGTGTTATTACTTTCATCAGGTGTGAATGACGATAAATTCACCGAATTGTTCACTGTTGTTGAATTTATTGGCGATGATGCCAGTGCATTTGTTTCCGGCCAGTTTGAACGCACTAATTGTGTTGAATTATTCGCTGAATTTGCTACTACAGACATGATTTTCTATAGAATGAAGTTTGTTCAATGAATAGCGACAAGAAAAAAGAAAACAAGCAAGTAAACTGAAGATTAATTTCATAGCCAATCGATGCGAACACTTCTCGAACAGTCGTCGAATCGATCGACAGTGACATCTGCAACGCATTCTCTCTTGACGTCCATTTTTTTTTCCACGTATTCTTAAATTCACTCTTGAAAATTAGTTTTACACTTTGAAATTCATTGCAACTAAACTGTTAATTTTCACCACGACTTCATTATTCGATTGAAATGTATTGCCACAATCGAAAGAACACATTCACCCACACACACTTTTCGCAGAAAAGAAAGTGATACATATTTGATTATCTCTAAAATTGCAATCATATTAAATAAATATGAAATCTATTTTAGTCATGTAATGATGCATAATATTTTAGAGAAATGCATCGAGTATCTTCTACTAATTGTCGAATAAAAGACATCAACGATCTATTAATAACCGTAGATCTGATCAAGAGACAATTATGCGTGTTAATGAGATTTTCTCGGAAAAAAATGTTATTGACGTAAGACTATTTAATTGAATCAACGATCAAATATCCAACCAGTAAATTCTCGCTGCACTTCTCCATCTCGATGTACATAACAGTTAGATTAATCAACATGAAATTCGCTTGTTACACTTGAACCTGTTGACAAATTGTTCGTCTTGTTGAGTACAACATTTGTGCATGGCAGATATCACGAGATTAGATTTTATAATTAGATTTCGTGCCAATTGAAATTTATATGTTCGTGTAAATGAGCATATCTCTTCCTTCTTCAACATGTTTATAGAACCAATAAAAAAGGAAAAAGTAAATTGATGTTTGACACTTGGAAAGTACACTTTATGCGTTATTTGAAAGAACATGTTGATCAATAATAATCATTGCAAAAACTGACATAGAAAAGGAAATGTAATGAAATGCTGATTGTTTTTTCGACATTTCCGTAATTAGCAGTTGTGAATGGAAGTACATCGATGAGAAACAGGAATTTGTTGTTTTTTCTTTCTCCTTTTTAACATGCTTATCTTATTTATCGATTTCCGAATTCGTACTATTTCCATTAGTACGATTTGTAAATGTTCGTTTCGTCAAGGACAAGGCTTAATCATCGAACAATCTCTTCTCGTCCTAACCACCAACATTTCTCTAACTTATAATCCTTTAGATAGTAGAACTGACAATATGTTGAATGATAGATATGAATAGACGTGAAAATCTGCTTCTCTCCAGTTTCATCACGACTATCATTAGAGTTTCAGTGGAGTCGGTATTCCTCTATTTGAAGAATAAAAAAAAAGAGAAACACGGATAAAGATAGCGAACACTGAATCTTTTGTGTCTACATTATGTGTATGCGTGCTCATAGTAGACATCTACGACTAGCTTTATCTGAAACACACGGCAAGAAGAAAAAAGAGGATCTTTTCAGTTCTCTTGAGAATGATGCCGTGCGTCACTCATTACAGAACATTTTTTCAAATTATGCTTGAAGAACGAGAGAGAGAGAGAGAGGGAAGAAGGGAAAGCTTGGTGAAGACGAGTTGAGCTCGTTCGTCTATGTTTGCCTTCAAAGAGTTGAGGCATATTGCTGTTGATGTTATCAAGTGGGTGTGACGTTGCTGTTAAATCACATAATTATGCAGCCTAAAGCGACAGCGTCTACTGATACATCTAGTCGATTACCATCTCCTGATTTCTCGACATTTACACCTGACGAACTCGAACGATTAGAAGATGTTCTGCAAAAGCAAGTGCTCATTGAATGTGAACGTAATCAACGATTATCCGGTCTACGGCGCACGATGGTACATCTACAACAAACAATCAGTAATGAATATCAACGACAACGGCCGTATTCGTCAAATAGTACGTCGCCGGTACAACAAAATCAAACCTACTTATCATCATCAGATATAATTCAGTGTTACATTTGTTATTCCACAATTGAAGTTCAGTCGAATCAGTTACCGCTCTCACCACCCATCCTATGTGCCGATTGTCATCGACCAGTTTGTCGACGGTGTGGTAATTATACTTCACCTGAGTTAATCCGAGCGCATTATGAAAGTAATACTGAAAACCAGAGTGTTACATCGAAATGGCGTTGTCGGATGTGTATTGTACGACGTGAAGTGGTCAGGAAATCGGGTATGTTCTTCGAATGGAAAATCTAAATTACAAGTATTCGATGAATAAAAAAAGGAAGAAAGAAAAGGGCATCGATTTCATCTATAAATGTCATTTGAAAATATGAGGGAGCTATGTAGAAGAACGAAGCATGAAGAAAGAAGTAAATTACAGTTCAGTAGAGGTTTTTTCTCTCTCTCTCTCATATACTCTCTCCTCTTTTTTCTGCGACATGCTCGTCGTTTTTTCTACATTATTATTACAGAGCTGAGATCGCATTATTCACAGTTTCATTATTTTGTTTCCAACTTGTGCTATTCGATGTTCAACAAATGCATCTTTTTCGAGGTTCATGGAATGTGAATGAAGATGAAGTGTCCGTTCATTCACCGGTTCGACTCTTACAGAAATTGGCAGCTTATCGAGCGTCGACCACAGCTCCTACATCTGCAACTTCAACACCGTCAGTATCACCTCAAAATGAACGTAAACCAACAATTTTAACTGAATCAACAAATTTCTTTGCTCGTCTATGGCGTCCGACGACAAATCATCCGCCGCCATCCCCAATTTTAATAACATCGAACGAAATACACTCATCATTAACCGATCTTGCGCCTGAATATAGTCCATCACTGTCTGAGACATCGTCAACTTTATCCGCTACGCCGAAATCAACTCGTCGTATCTCATTTATACGTGAAGTATCAATTAAAACCTCATCACATCTGTTTCCATTTCCACCGGTGCCGTCATCGCCGCCACTACCACCATCGTCATCGTCGTTACCGTCACCACCACCATTACTTCTGTCGCTACAGCCAGTACCGGCACCACTTTCTCCGCCTTCGCAACCGCTACTTCCATTGCGACCACCCCTACCGCCTCTTCGCCCGCAGCCAACAGTATCGAGTGTCATAACTGATCCATCGTTTGAAGATACAATATCCGAACATCCATGTGATACCGCTAGTGAATTTTATTCTCAAAGTTTTGAAACGAATATTGACAGTAGTAATCCGGGCATTGTCGATGATGACGATGATGATTATGATGAAAATTGTGGCCACAAACGTAGATTAACGTACGATGAACGACAGCGACGGTTAAGTCTGTCAGCGAAACCTGTGATATTGTTAGTGCATCAGAAGGCATCTTTGCCTATGGAGATGGTTTTGCCACATTGTAGTGATAGTCTCGCTTCACCCGAAGCGAATATTGATGTTAGCATGGTAAGTAGCAGAACTAATCATTGAATTCGTGTATAATTCGTTTTATTCGTTAGTTATCATGTCATATTTTGACATATAGATGAAAGAACTTGTTCTTTTATAAAGATAGATGACAAGCAGAAAATTGTAAAGATGTTTCCTTTCAAATGCTTATCTTTGACGAACGAGAACGGAAACACAAGAGAAGGATATAATAATACAAGGTAACGTGCATGCATCGCAATCTATACGATCATCTCAGATTAGTAGTCATTCTTTCCGCCCTTCGTTCAGTCTGTAGTCATTTAATGACAATCAAGAAATCCGTTCTGTTTGTAGAACCTATAAAAAGACATAAGACCTATTCTGAAATGTCAGTAATGACTCATTTTCGTGAACCTAATTTCGAATTAAATCACATAGATCTCATTCTCATTGTCTTCAGGCCATGGATTATCTCACAACGTCGATGATAACGACGCAGTCAATAAGTAATAGTACGCCGCCAATAACAATGGAAAACAATCCTGTATCAGCAACTAACAATCTTAGACGAAAGAGCCGGTCAGGCCTTCGAAATGCTGAAGGATGGGCTCGAAAACGAGCATTGATGCATCGTGGTTATCAATGGACAACAACATTTGAAGGTATGGAATCGACCAATAACGATCAAACATATCCGAATTTTGACAATACAACATCTCTGACTGATTCTATTCCACATATCGATCAACAGAATCTATCGCCAACTTTAGCCTCGACGATGAGACATTTGAAAAACAATGAGTCAAGTTTCAGTTCTCAGGACACGCACCGTCGACGACGTTCATCTCGACGTCTACCCGAAATACCTGGCAAACATTCATCATCGTCCACCACAAATAATAAGGAAACTAACCTTTCCGATGAAGTCATCTTTACATCTTCATCATTACACTCCTCCAATGAATATCCAACACATCCAATGCGTGAAAATTCTCTCAGTAATCGTTCGAACCGTTCCAAAAGTATCGATTCTGATTCTTCCTTGAAAACACGTTCATCACACACTAAACTATTCCATACTCATCAATCACCGAATGCAAAGTCGGTGGATGTATCTAATCTAGCACGACGAAAGTCATTTCTTGTCATTAATAATACGTCGTTGTTACCTCAACGCTCGCTTGATTATCCATGCATAGTACGCAAAGCGCCAGATCTGTCCGATATTGTCCGGAGACGAATGTTATATTCGAAAATTTCCAAACAGCAAGGTGATACTTTTTCAATTAGTTTAGAACGTGAGCACGTACCAAAAGTACCACGGAAAATTATCATCCGGCAAGACAACAGTATTGAGATTGCATTAAGGTAATTGCTTCTATCCTGACGAACTGTTATTCTCTTGTTGAACTCAGCAGGATTGCGTGTGAACTATAAAGCGGATTCTTTGACTTCTATATTCTAGTAAACCACCGAAACTTCGTCGTCAGACGTTGTCGGAAGAGTATTATTATGGTTGTAACTCGGAAGCAGAATTTGCTTCCATTGCACAGTCAACGAATGCTGCATCAACGCTGGGCATACCACTTCCATCGTCAGCATCGGGTGGCGATCGACGAAAAACGATTGAAACATGTGAAAACATCTTCTTACATGCAGAAGAGAGTTCTAAATTACGTGCGCGAACACCACCATCGAATCCACATCGAATTTTACTACACCGAGATAAAAACGATACTTCGATACGGACCAATGGTCTCGGAATGCGAATTGTAGGTGGCCAAGAATGTGAAGACGGCAGTCTTGGTACGAATAAAAACGAAAAAACCTGCCCGACCAAATATCTTTGATGTGTTTCAGGATGTTTTGTTACCAATCTTTTACATGGCGGGCCAGCTGATGTTCAAGGTAACATTGAAGTAGGCGATCAAATTTTGGAATTCAATGGTCATTCATTGATCGAGTCAACTTACGAAGAAGTTCGAATTCTACAAGATTATTGTGGTGATATTGTACAATTAGTTGTACAACATAACAATGTACGATTACAAATCAGTGGTGGTCAAGCTTTATCATCAATTGAAATTTCTCGACATTTCGAAACTGTACCACGATTAGCATCATCGTTGACACGTAAACGACGAAATTTACCGCCTCTGCCACCGTCATTATCATCATCATTTCCCAAGCAGCAGAAACGAGATTTGTACGAAACCGTCGAAACTCTCGAAGTGCCAAATGTCAAAGAATTGAAACCAATCCTAATCAATCGCGGCCGACTTCTCGGTAAGATTACAATACTACAGTCATCTTGGGAATACTAAAACTTATCACATGTCGTGTATTGTATGACAAGCTTTTCAATTCTTCGATGAGACAATGAATAGAATTTTGATATCTATTGAAAACTAACTTGTTCTCTTTTAGCTCAAATCTGGCATGATGTCGAAGATATGAAATTAGCTTTAACGATCATCCAAGCTGGTAATTTACCTTTACGAACCAATGGTGACCAACCATATACATTCATAACTGGTAAAATGCTGTTTGAAGATCGCGGCTTCGACATGTTCGAAACCAAAGTGATACATTCTTCGAATCCTATTTATAATGAAACATTTGTGTTTCATGAAGTCGAAACTGTCGATGTGCTTCATCTGGAAGTTTTACTTTGGGATAAAAAACAGAATCAAGCGGATAGACATGCGATTAACAACAGTACAGATGAATGCGATGAATTTCTTGGCATGATACAATTGCCACTAAGTGAAGCAAATCTAGAAGATGAACCACGATGGTACGAGCTTCGAGATCGTCAAACACGAAAGCCGTCAACATCGAGTGTAACGTTCAAATCGTCATCGGCTGAAAGTGGAGATAGTTTTCGAAAAATGCCACCTTTGGTACCCTCGTCATCGTCAACAGTGGCATCATCGTCAGGAAATAAACATCAAGAACGAACGCGAACATCAACTGACCTGTTAATGCGAGCATTGAATCGTTCAGCAACGAATAAAATCGACTCGAATCGACGAGCATCAACAACAGATAAACGATTACAGCGAACAAGTGCAAAAAATCCCACTATACCATCAATAATTATGACCAGTATCGAAGACGAAGACAACGATGAACCTGCTTCTCCTCGAGCTTCGACCATGGTTGTTCAATCGGTTAAACTTAAGCGTCGAATATCCAAAGGAATTCTGAAATTGTTCGATATGCAAACGAGACGTTACAGTGAATCGTCACCAAAATCATCGATCGACAGTCCAACATCAAGAAAACATTCATCACAAATGCCACCCAATCTTGATAGCGAAGATGACATTGATTCACCAACATATGGCGTCTCATTTGACAGTACACCTACAGTGATGAATAAATCTCCACGGCAAAGCATCGGGCCACCACTGCCACCTCCACCCGTGCCGCCATCGTCAGCAATACATCATGACGAACAACAAACACTGATACGTCCGATTCCATTGCAACAAATGCCAATAGGACAATTAATGTTACCTTTTATTCCATCATCACGGCATTCATCAATATCAGGCTCGCGGAAATCGTCAGCGGCATCTTATTGTGAAAGTGACGAAGATATTGATCGTTATTTCACCTTAACAGAACAGCAGCAACAACACCAAGCAGCAGAGCAGATGATTGAAAACAATAACGTTCAAACACATACGGTTGGTCCTGGACAAGTTACACCGAGAAACTACGAAAATATGATCAATGATTATATCTACATGGGACAAATTCAATTAGGTTTAATCGTCACGAAAGGTCTTCTAGAAATTGATATTGTCTGTGCCAGAGGACTGGAACGAGTTATTAATGATAACGATCCTCATAATTTCAATAATAACATGACTGGAACTAGACATGAAGAGAATCCTCCAGATACTTATGTGAAAACGTAAGTAAAACTGAAATTAGTTTGTTGTCACATGCGGAACTATCCTTTATGTTTACATAGATATCTACGCACGGGCACGCGACGCGTACAAAAACGTAAAACAGCAACAGTGAAAGGCAGCTACAATCCAGAATATCATGCTAAATTAAAGTACAATGCTTGTAATGTCATGGGTACCTATTCATACCTTTTCTCTCGTGATCTGCTGATTTCCTACGATATTTATGTTAAGGTCGTCGTCTTCAAGTGACAGTCTGGCAACGTGCGGGCAAATTCGAGAAAAATCAATGTATAGGAGAAGCTTTCATTCAACTTGATCACTTAACATTAACTCAACATACTCTAGCTTGGTACAAATTATTCCGAGAGAAATTAGTTGAAAGTGAATTCTATGATTCAAGCTGAATTCAGTTTGGCATTCATTTAGATCTAATGATAGAGTTTTATTTTCGTTCTTCCTTGCTGAAAATTTGTATTATTTAATAAATAGATGATGTTTATGAAAATCCTTCTATAGTAATCCATTAAAAATTAATGCAATAAGTTATATTTCATAAACACGAGTTGGTTGTTGATGATCTCATCCAGATACTGACAGTCTTTGATCTTTGAAGGAGTCACCTTGATAATCAAATAGCACGAAACTTCGTTCAATCTTTGCTGTCAAGTGAAACAAACATTGATGATTATACAATAGCACAAGAATATAGAGGGTTGCTCGACTTTGAATTAGTGTAAAATAGATTGATTAGTCTTTTATTGACATTAAAAAACGAAACGATAAATACTCAGAAGATACGGTCATTTCTATGGTTCACCTTGCTTCTCCAAGAATTGTTGTTGAATTAACTGTTGTTTCAAGAGATTCATTTGTTTACTAATATACACAGATTTTTCCAAATAAGTCGCAATATTCTATAAAAAAAATAAAGCAATTCACACTTTCAATCCGAAGCAAATGTCGTGTCTTACATTGAAATGTTCATCGCTAGTTCCCAGTGATTTCACTGCATCGACACTATATTCTACATCAAATATCAATCCATTCATCCGTTCGTGTAAATTCTCCAATTCCATTCGTTTTTGAACCATCGTCGGTAAAGTTCGTCGTACATGTTCCTATATCGAAAAGAAAACATCGATTTTTCAAAGAGGTATAAATAAACAATCAATAATTACTTGAATTCGATAGAAAGCTAACGATGGTTCATTCGCGTTCGATTGAATAGTTTCATTAATTGCACGTATTGATGAGCGCACTTTCGATTCTGTATCGGGATCGGAACGAATTGTTGATGCATTTGAACGAGATTCGATTATACTTGGTGAAGTGATCATCTTTTCTTCGAAAATGAAACGGCTGTCAAAAGAAAAAGAAAACAAGCAAAGCTATGACATGTCCAATGATAGCAATTTTCGGTTACTGACATCTATCGACAAAGTCCGCGATTGATATAATACTGTCACTTTGTTTTCTATTCGAAAGACGAACACTGAACTGAACGGAAGAAAAATTCATACAGATTTCGAGTCGAGAAGATTTACTATGAGTCAAAAGTCTCCAACGAAACTTTCACTTCTTCATTCAATTGAAAATAATCGATCGGGAAATCAAAAAGGAAAGTCTTCAACACTAAGTATCCCTCAAAGTATCGGTGTTAATACTGAACAAATTCAATGTACTCGTGATGCTGGTTCAAATACTCCTAACTACGCGGAACAAATGGCACGAGCAATGGAAAATGGAAGTGGTACTGAAGAGTTTGTCCAAATGCTCCTGCAAAGTAGAGATGCGGTTTGTTTCATGTGAAAGTTATTAGTTTTATTTGCATTGTAGACGAAGCGTCCGAGGCCTACTGGAAAATAGTGACTGAACGAAGAAAAGAAGCTATTGAAGATACCATTCTTGAAAATCAACAAGTAAAACAAAATTCATACAAGTTCCTCTCTTGATTCTTCATTTGTTTAGCTACATAATCTTATCGATGGATTGAGTAAAGAAAACGATCAACTTCGCGTTGTGGCTGGTCATCATGATTATTTACAAAGTGTTCTCAACGTAAAGTACAACTTTTTTCTAAAAGTCGATTCTAGTTCTACTTGATTTTAGTCGTTTACTCATGAACATGACAGTCTTCTTGATGATAGTTCAACAAACTGACGTTGACTTATGTTTGTACATGTGTGTATTTTTGAATGTATATGTGTAAAACTCCACCCAAACGAGTTTTTATGTGTCGGATTGTATTCTATTTCGAGTAAGATAAAGAATCCATCAGAGAGCATATTTTTGAATAAAACTATCGAAAGGTTGATATAGTTTGCATCTTTGATCATATTTTGTGATAAGTACTGATTGAAATCGTCAACGTGAAGGAATAACGTAGTTACTCATCCATAATTACTAAATACGTTTCTCGTACTATGGCAGTCATACCTCACTGCTTTGCAATGAATATCTTACGTCAAAAACAGAACGCAAAAGTAACTTGTGAATACTTAACGGACTGTTATTTTCTACATTTCGAAGGAAAGAAAAGATTTGACCCCATATTAGCAGACGAAGAAAAAAACTAAAACCTATTAACTTGTGCAATGAACCATAATTTCGTCAATCTTTTGATAGAGGGTTTGCTGAATAGGGAGTAATTCTCCAACGTCTTGTCGATTCAAAATTCATGGCAAGTAGAAGATCAATCGATGTGAAAAGGTCCGACCAATCTTCGACAATCTCCGCACAATCAAATGAACGACAAAGGGTGAACCGACGACGGATGCAAACTGTTCTCGTCATCTGGTTGGACAGTAATATCGATGGTAAAAGTGACGATTGTGAAAATACACTTACTCAATTGCAATCGGTGGCGAGCAGTATCGATACCTTCATAGACGTTGATCTATGTGTCGACTTTATTCGAGATATTAAAGACGAGAAGGCATGTTTGATTGTGTCAGGATCGTTGGGACAAAAGATCGTACCTCGGATTCATAGTATGCCTCAAATGGACTCGATCTTTATCTTTTGTGGCGAGAAGAAAATGCACGAACAATGGGCGAAGAACTGGCCGAAGATAAAAGGTGTTTTCACAGACATTGCATCGATTTGTCAAGCACTCAAGGAGGCCGCTCAACGTTGCGAACACAACTCTCTGCCAATTTGTTTCGTACCACCGGATAAGAAATTAGATCAACTCGATCCTTCGTTTATGTACACGCAGATGCTGAAAGAAATACTTCTCACTCTAAACTTTGAAGACAAACATGTGACAAAGTATGCTGACTACTGTCGAGATACGTTTGTCAATAATAAAAAAGAATTAGATAATGTGCAACAATTCGAGAACAAATACCGACAGAAAACACCCATATGGTGGTATTCTTATGATACATTTCTGTATCCGATGCTCAATCGCGCGTTGCGACTGATGGATGGAGATACCATAACACAAATGGGATTTTTTATTAGCGATCTTCATCGCGATATCGACCGACTTCATAAACAACAACATGTTGACCATTCTAGTCCGAAAAGCTTCACGGTTTATCGTGGACAAGGTCTGTCGAAGGCGGACTTCGAAAGTATGGAGAAGAGTAAAAATGGGTTGATATCGTTTAACAGCTTCTTATCCACCAGCAAAACTCAACAAGTTTCACTTCAGTTCGCTCAAAACGCCGCCGTCAATCCGGACTTAGTGGGCGTGGTTTTCATCATGAACATTGATCAGATTCAGTCTAGTACACCTTTTGCTTCTATTCGTGATGTCAGCTATTATCAAAATGAAGATGAAGTTCTCTTTCCAATGCATACCGTTTTTAAAATTCATGAGTTAAAATCAATGAATGGAAAGAATCGACTCTATGAAGTGAAACTAGTATTGAGCAGTGATAGTGACAAGGATTTGAGCGCGCTGACTGATCGCATTCGAAAACAATTTCCATTACATATCGATGGATGGTACAGACTGGGCACATTGATACTCAAAATAGAACAATGGAACAAAGCTGAAGACGCTAAAGAAAAAGTTCCTAATCACCGAGATAATGTCAATAAAAAGACACCCATATACCATCAACACGGCATGATTAAATACGATAAAGAGAAGTATCAAGAAGCAGTGTCATTGTATGAAAAATCAGTTGGAATCTATCATAAAGCTCTTTCCTCGAATCAATCTGATATGGCCACTTCTTACAACAACATTGGTTTGGTGCATTACAACATGGGTGATTATCCGAAAGCGTTGTCAGCATACGAAAAAGTTTTGACAATTCGCAAACAAGCACTTCCACCTAATCATCCTGATTTGGCTCCATGTTACGACAACATCGGCTCAGTATATCAAAAGATGAACGACTACGAAAATGCACTTTTATCACACCAAGAAGCTCTTCGAATTCGAAAACAATCTCTTCCTCCGCATCATCCCGACGTGGCGACATGTCTCAGCAATATCGGATCGGTATATCAGAGCATGGGTGACTTGCCAACAGCGCTCTCTTTCTATGACAAAGGTCTATCTATTCGAAAACAAATACTACCTTCTGACCATGCTGATCTGGCTTCGTCCTATGTAAGTATCGGTACGGTCTATGAAGGGATGGGTAGCTATGCAAAAGCCAATACATTTTATGAGCGTGCTATAGAAATCGAACGACGTTCACTACCTCTGAATCATCCAAAACTTGAAAATTCTCGAAAGAAACTTGAACATATCCAAACAAAACTATAACCAAAGATTTCGTATGAAAATCAATTTCACCTTTATTTTCAATCTCTGTGTTTATGTAACAACATCGATTAGTTTTTCACTTTATTTACAAATAAAGAATCACAAAAATAAACACAAGAAAATATTGCTAGAGATATAATATAATGTTCACATGTTATTCTATAAGATCATCAAAACAATCGTACACAAACTGACGATTTCTTCTTAGTTTCATTCTCGTCTTCGCTCGTTAATTTCTAAAAAGTCAAGTCAATCAATATACAAGAATAGCAAAGAAACACAAATCTTACTTCAATAATATCTGTTAAATATTCGCAATGATCAGCAACTGCGCGTAAATTATTATTGTCCGCATTCAAATCATCAATAATTTCATGAAGCTAAATGACAAACTCTTCTCAATAGAAAAGACGTGTCCATTCATTTCCTACCTGTTGATTTTCACGTGTGACGTTTTCGAGTTTCACTCGGTAATGTTCAGCCATGATATGCCAATAAGATTCAGGCGCTGTTTCTAAGAAGAAACATGTAAGTTCATCGATACACAAGTGATGTATTACTTTGAACAAATGCTTCGAACTCTTGAGCTGACATGCGCGTACCAGCTTGAACAATCGATGGAATATCAAGCGTTGCTTCTTCAACGGGAACGAGCTGTTTACGAACAGCGTTCTTTTTCTTGATCGAATGTGCATCAATGATACCTGATGTATTCTGCAGAATTACAAACGATTAGTATAGATTCTCCGTTGAATATCTCATAGTTTTACCTTCTTTGTTGACGATTTTGGTGAACTAATACGAACACTTTCAAAAGTGTTCACCGATAATTGTTTAAGTGGAGCTTTGGCCATGTTGTTTCGTTAGGAAATAATAATGAATCTGAAATCAAAATCAGATTATTTTATATAAGCGTGTTTCTCTTATCTACAAAGAATTATTTATTGTGTACAATAATAACAATACAAAAGAAAAGTGCATGTGTTCACATGCGACTGCGTCGCGTCGCTCGTTTATTTTTCGTTGGTAAAGCCGTACTAATCGTTGTGGCCTTGCTGGTACTTGGTCGCATCTTTTGTGTGCCGTCATTCGTTCGTCGAGCTTTTTTGATGGCATGATGTCCAGTGGATGCATTGTTGATATTGATGTTATTCGAATCACGAAAAACATTCTCGATTAAATTGTCAGTTAAATGGCGGCCAATGTAATTCCAAGTTTTCAATTGAGCGCTTTCGTTTTGATCTTTGTGGAACTCTACGGTTTTCTTCTCAGTCAGATCGTCTGAAATTGAGGGAAGAAGTGATTTTCAGTAGGAACTGAAACAAGTCACTTACAAGCAATCAGCTGCTCATCCAGAGATTTCTTTCGATTTGATGGAAGAATAACTAAATTGGTTAGTTGACGCCATAGGTCAATTTCTCGTCTACGAAACGAAATATCAATATTGTATGTCGTTGTTCCTGTTCAGAAATAAAAAAACGAACTTTTTGCATAGCAAATCTTCAATTGCCTGATTCTCCTGATGCAAATGTTCTTTCAAATGTTCATTTTTCACGTGCATTATCTCGATTAATTCATCGAGGAGATTATTTGAGGTATCAGTCGTTTCTTCAGCTTTCGGAACATGATCTACGAAAAGAACGAATGTATCGAATGTCATTTGTAAACACACACATACATGATCGGTAACATGAACGACGAGATTTCCGAATAGTTCGAAAATCTAAACATAAAAACGTCAACGAAAAGAATGCATAGACGACAGTCATCACCAGTTTTCGATGTGGCAACTATTTCATCGACAGGCGGTAATTGCATAGAGAGAAATACATCGCGAATCGATACGTCAGCCATGATGAAATTTTGTGAAGTAACGTCGAGAAGAAGTTCGAGATAAAGGATATCAGTAGACAAAGACCTCAAGTGGACAAATGAAGAAATCACCGGAAGATAGAGGTCGCTATCCTATACGTGAGTTATAGACAAACGTGCGCTTCGATGCTTTCATCATTTACGTGGTAAAAATATAGAAGTTTATAATACCACGCGAAAAATACGTGCTGGAAACGCTAACAGATCAAAATACTCAGTCAATAACAACAAACATTGGTTTCAACTGGACTGAGAATGATTTTATTCCTCGAATGTACATAAATACAAAATGGCAAGTTGATAAACTCTATATTTCATCGAAACGATTGAGATCGAGGAATTACATTATCAAACAATTATACACGCATGGTATTGTTCTAAAAAAGGATCGGAATTACATTCAAATCAGAAGTCATGCAGACAACATCCTGAATAGAAGTATTCAACAGATTAATGAATATCAATTTAGATCGTAATCGATCTTACATGAAATATCAATCATTAGAAAACGATGCGGTTAATATCCATATGGAATATGTTTGCCATGACATCGTGCGGTATTGTTGATAAACAATAAAGGAACATAATTCGATTGTATTTCCATTCTTATCTGTTTTGCCGAGAGATTCATTGAATTTGAACTTTTTAAACAAGAAGCGGCGGATTATTTCTATGATTTATCGAAGCACGACTGTCAACTGCTGGTAGCGTTTGTGTAAAACCCAGCTTTTTTAAAACATAAAACCAACATTCTTGACAAGAGTTTTCCCGATAATAGTTTGCATAAAGCAGCACTAACATAATTGTGCACATGAATAGAAGTCCACCTACATACCACGAATCGAATGGATTAGTTACATAATAATCACGTTTCGGCCGAATTGTAGTCGCCGTCGTTGCCAGAATATCATTGAGGAATACGTTTGATCTGTTCATACGTATTCTTGACTTGATTTAATCGTGCTGAAGGCGAAGAATGTTAACAGGTCGTTATAATACTATTTATCTTTCTTCTATAGAGACTCTTGTTCTATTCTTATTGACTAGTACTATAGAAGCCGATGAATAGACATACAGAGCATTCATTTTTTTTTATCGCTATAGAGGAGAAAAAGCAGAGTGCTATTCTTCACTCACATACATATTCATTAGATTAACGATGAATAAATAAAAGAAATCGAATCAAATAGTAAACATCAAACGAGATAGATAGAGAGTCGGATTTGTTCTATTCTAACATGTGATTGAGCAAGCGAAGTTTTCAGTGCTGATAGTTTTTTTTTTCACTACGATTATTTGATTAACGCTGAATAAGAAGAGAAAGAACGACGAACAGAAGATTACTTTCAGATGATTTATGACAATAATAAGAGAGAGAGAAAGAACAGAAGCGCGTCACCGAAATCGAGGAATTTTTATATATGCGATGTTCATTTATTAAAATGTCATATGCTCTGCTGAACAATTACAATGTATTTGCTTTTAATAATTAATAAATTAACAAGGATTTGTTCGCAATCGGGTTTGTCTTTTGATGAATTCCTGATTGCGATTCAGACGGAAATAGAGGACAAAATGCGTTTCTCGCTATTTAGAAATGAATAAATTCATTATCGTATGCGCGCTTTCATCCGTTCCTGCTTTTGATAGGATCTAAAAATGTCGTAGATAATCGGAGAGCTTTTCTGGACATGACAAAAGAACGATGCGGAACAATAGTACTTGTTTTCTTTCACTATGCATCCTCGAATAAAATTATGAAGATTAGAAAACCGAAAAGAGGATCGATTAGGAGATATGAACGCATTGCATGAGTTTAAGACAAACTAGTTGATCAACTTCGAAACAATTGATGACGAGTCGTGAGAAACTGAATGAAAACTTTCTTTCAATATTTCCTCGCCTACGTCATTAATTGTTTTTATGAGGGCAGAAGATCGAGTGTCAGTAAACGTTCGTGAAGTATGTTTTGCACATCTCTTGTTAATGAGTGCAATGTGGTACCAATCTGACTTTTCCGACTAGGCCAGCCGTTCCATACCACATACAAATAAACATCTGTCTAAAATGTGTCATACTATTATGAATAATGACACACATTGTTAGCGTTTTCTCTCATTCTCTAATTATTCCATGTATCGAAAAACTTATTTAGTTATTAACTGAAAGAGAAGAAATGAAATTCATAAAAGTCAGCTATCACCACGGATGACTCAGACCATTATATACGTTTCCGGTTACTCAATGATCAAACGTCTTCGGAATGTGGAACAGTTTTATCGCTATAGAGAACACTATCTCTATTAATGGAGTGTCATGTTCGAAGAATTAAACATCCTTTTTATGATAGATCATATCAACAAGTGTCCCCATCAATAACAACAATGGCTAGTCTTGAGTTATTAGCTGTCAACACTCACTACCACCATCACCACACTTCCTATTTCAAGAAAAAACTAAATTCTCATGAAAGTCATGGTTTCCGACCGGAATGTCGCAGGAGTCAATAGAGAAATAGGAGAAAGGTTCTCAATCAAAAAGCCGTTAACTTCCTTCGTAGTGGCGGAGCCAGGATTTTATAGGGTACTGGATCTCCGTTCCAGAGCATGGGTCCCAGTTAAAACTAATGGAAGATGATATTGGTGACAAATGATGAGTTTCCGCCAAGTGATTTTTGCAATCGAAGTTTGCCAAAAAAATTAGCATTTTCCTGAGCCCACCCAGAAAATCTTCAATACTGTTAACAGTGTCTCATTTTTGAGAATGCTATAGAAAGCTACATCAAATTTCATCGACAGATTTCAAATTTCATTCAAAAATGCATTTTTGAATGAAATTTGAAATCTGTCGATGAAATTTGATGTAGCTTTCTATAGCATTCTCAAAAATGAGACACTGTTAACAGTATTGAAGATTTTCTGGGTGGGCTCAGGAAAATGCTAATTTTTTTGGCAAACTTCGATTGCAAAAATCACTTGGCGGAAACTCATCATTTGTCACCAATATCATCTTCCATTAGTTTTAACTGGGATCCATGCTCTGGAACGGAGATCCAGTACCCTATAAAATCCTGGCTCCGCCACTATTCCTTCGATTGGATAGACCTAGATGTCTGATCCTAATCTGACATCGACAATCGCCGTTTTGAATTTTTCGATACAAAAAACGATCCAGATCATATTTTACTTTATGAACAATTGGAGGAAGCCTCTTCGCCGAACACAAAGAGAACGTAAGAGAGAATAAAAAAAGATGTCTGAACTCATATGAATGAATTAAGTGCTCCATTCAAAATCCAAGCATTTGAGCAAAAATAACATGCCCAAGACTATCGACATCTGTTAATTTATTTGTTTTATCGCACAAAGACTAAGCTTTGCTTTTTATCAGCTTCGATAAACTATTGATGTAGATCATCATAGGTTTTCAATAAGTGTCAAAATTAAACTATTAAGTTTGCATTTGTATCTATACTATTCTAATCATTCATGCGATGGAAATAATAGAACTTGTCTTTTTGCGTGTATAGTCTCGAATCGAAATATGAAGACTATGTTGTTTTTGTTTTGACTATGGAATCGAAAACAAACATTCAATTACTCTCGCATAAGTTCAAGAAAAACTAGTTGATCAACTTCGAAACAATCCGTAGTTTTGTTCACAATTGATTTCAACCCTTGAGCGATTTGACCATCGTCCAAATTTGGATCTGTTCGTTGGAGTGTACGTTGTTTAACGTAGTAATCGTACACTTTTTCGAACGTTGCTTCGCCCAATTTACTAATTGCTGTTCTAAAAAAGCAGAAAAAGCAGTTCGAAGACAAAACTCAGTATCAACATACGCTCGTAGATTGTGGATCTTTGCTTCTCGTGCTTGTGGACCATATGCATCATTCTTCGGAGCATCTCGTAGTGTTGCACCTAGAAAACTTTGTCAGATTCTTTTTCAATTCAAAACAACTCCATCTACCATCGTCATGTAAAGTCGACTTTTCTCTTGTCATACTACCGCCAAGTGTTTTAGCTGGAGATACGTATTTTTCTCGTTGTTGATAGTTTGATGCACGATGTGGGCCAATCGTTCGACTCATTGAATTCATCGAGCGTTGTGACGCTGACATCACTCGTTGACTTGATAATGTTCTTTCGTTATCACGCGATGGACTCTGATTATTCGCACGTCGATCATAATATCCAGAATCATAATCACCACCCATTTTATCAGCAACTTGTTGGTACGATCCTCGCATTGGTGTTATAGGACGATCTTCATAGCCACCATCAAACGGAGCACGCCTGGGTGCATTACGATTTGGACCGGCATCTAAAACGAACATTTCGGTTGGTCGGACATGCGAGTCCGTTTTCACTTACTTCGAGGATAGTTACTGACGGGTTCTTCGGCATAGTTATCTGAGTCCTCGTCAGGTGATTTGGTTTGTCTCATCTATAATTCGCAACTATTCGTATCAATGGAAGTACGGTTCTTATTTGGTTTTACCGTTCCTAAACTCGTTTTCTCGCGTCGCATTTGCTGATTGCGAGCTGCTTCAGATTGAATATGTTGACTACGAATGAAACAATCATAGTTTCTTAATTCTCTTTCTTTTCTCATTCATTACCTAATACGTTGTGCATTAGCATCTGCAGCTTTCATTTTCTTTTCCATCAAAGCTCGTTGAGTCGCACTCATGGTTTGTGCAGGTTTCATAGTTTGCTCTTCGTCTTCCTCGACTTCTTCTTCGGACTCATCATGCACCGGTGGCAGATGTTTTTGTTGCATAGTATTTTCCGATTCACTATCATTTTCATCACTGGGAACAAAATCTTTACCATACGCTGTCCACTTTTGATCTTTCATTTCACCATAATTTACTGATTTCTCACTAAAACACACTCATTGATTAGCATTGAGCAAACAATCTTTCGATAAATACTTACAATCGTTGATTGATTTCGTTTAATCGAAGTTTACCATTGATTGTGTTCTCAAGTGGACCGGTTAATTTAGTTCTCTACGAAGAAGAAAAAAAAAACAAAATAACCGTTCGGATGAAATTTGTACAAATAATACCTGACGATGTCCGATGAGAAAGGGAGCTTCTAGTAATTGAGCTGCAGTTGGCCGATTCTTTGGATCTTTGATAAACATTCTTAACAAAGAAGAATTGCACCAGGTTTATTCAGAGCCATATGACAACTTACTTTTTCAGTAAATCATTCAATTCTTTCGAATATGTTTTGGGTAGTTCAGGTGGTTTTCCTTCCACTACTTTGTATATCACATTCATGAGACCTTTACCATCGAAAGCGTGTTGACATGTACACATTTCGTACAATAGACAACCAACCGACCTAGAAAAGTACTTCTTAGAAGGAAAAAAAGCGATTTTCAAAACATTTTCGTACCAAATATCTGATTTCGCTTCGTATCCATCATGTTTCATAACTTCCGGTGACATATAATAACTTCAAGCGGCAAAACAAGGACATTTGTTTCTTAAATCAACGCAAAATACTTACGGTGTACCAGTAAATGTTGTTGCCACATCCATCGTCCCAACTAATATTCTACTGATACCGAAGTCTCCAATTTTGATTTTATTATTTTTGAGAAAAATATTTCTTGCTTTTAAATCGCGATGTAAAATTCTCGATTTATGCATATATTGAACAGCAATTAAGATTTGGATTAACCATTCGATCACCTGATCTTCTTCTAACGTACGATTTTGTTTTTTCAATTCTTTTAAACGTTGATCAAGATCGCCACCTTCGCAGAACTCAGTTACGATACATAAACAATCATTTTCGAGAAAACTTTCATGAAACTGAAAAACAACGTCATCAATCAATTAGCACTTTTCTCTTGCAATGAGTTACTTTGACAATATAGTCGTTATGCAAATTAGAGAGGAGTTCGGCTTCACGAACAGAATCAACTGTTTCATTCTCATCCATTTCACCGAGTCGAACGACTTTCAACACTTTTCTAAAAGAAAGAACATTACGATTTTCGGAGAAAACTTGCAAATCCTTACGGCTCAGTTTTCGATTTCAGATCAGTGACGAGATAAGCTGTACCAAAGTTTCCAGCACCAAGTTTCTTATCAATCTTATAACGTTTTTTATACATCTGTGGTTCGTCTTTGTCACCCATTTTGCTCTTATGATCTAAAACAGTAGAAAGCATTACTTTACATAAGCTGCACTTATCTTTTCGTATCTCCCCTATTCATGTTTTGAAACAATCATTCTGTTGTTGATTACTTCCTACGCAAATTTTTTCTTTTATTACAAAATAAATATACGAATTCACTCGGTAACTGTTGCCAGTGCAGCGAAACAATCAGTGTTATTCATGAGTTGACACCGATTGATTCATATAATGATATTTTTTGTGTTTAGTAGTCACATATGAGCTATGCTCGGATGAACATACGACACCTTTCTGCTGTTTTTAATGATAAAGAAATGAGTTGCATTGCTGACAAAAAAAAACAGTCTGACTGTTGTGGTAGCAAAGGTGAAAGAAAAGTAAAGAAAAAAAGAGTCATTTCGTATGATGTTGTTGCTTGTAACAACTCGATTTCTTTCTGTTCTGACGGTGTGAAGATACAGATGACTCGTATTGTTGATGAATTGCCATTGAAAGTCTTTCTTTTGAGAAAAAAAAACGCGGAGAAAAACTAAAACTATTGATTTTACAAAAGAAAGCTTTTAGTGTTTCTCGTCATATGAAAAGTGCAAATAAACAGTAAAAGTCTTTTAAATATTGAGACGTAGTCGTTAATCATAACAAGTTTCAACAACTGATGACCAATCGAACATGAAAATTTCACTTCTTACAGCAAAGAATAAATCCGTGCATTGAATAAAAGACTTCCGTGTTGAAATTTCGATGTAACGAACTCCCTCTATTGCTACTGACATCTATCATGAAGTTGTTTCTTAAGACAAAATACATCCAATCGATTCTTTGTTCTTCGTATCTATCTGTCTAATATATAAAACATTTTCATTTCACAACAAACGAGAAAAACCCAGATGTCTTCGATGAACGGCTCGATTTCAGCAATTCTCAATAAGCCGAACAAAACGACAGATGATTTACAACAAGTCATCGATGAATGGCACCAAAATTTATTGCGAAATGAAGAACATCTACTTCAATTCGCCAATCAACTCGAACAGAAACAACAGTCTCTTAATCAAACAACCAACTCGATCATTCAAACGCAGAATTTATTAGCCAATCTTGAAAACAACTTGCAACAATTCCAGCTGTCAGTTCAAACATTAGCAAAATACAATGATGAACTTGAAAGTAGCGTTGAACAATTGAATGCCGACAGTAAATCTCTTCTACCGAACATTCGTTCCAATCTAAAAACTGATCAGGATCGTTCGATCACCTACGAACTGATGGATTCAGTCGATACACATCTCAACGAACTTGATCAAACGATGAAACAAATTAATAACGCCCTTCAAATCAATACAGATCATTCCATTTTGAAAACGACAGATGAATTACAAACATGCTTTCATGACGTTCATAATCTTCAAGAAACAATTAAACAAATAAAAATTGAATAAACATTTCTTTTTTGCTCTGTGATTTTCTAGATGAGTTTCTTTTTCAATCCAGCAGCTAGTACAACAAGCATTACCACAGCAAGTACGACTGCAAGTGCACTTCCAACGACAACGACGACGACGACAACAGCAGCTGCAAAACCAGTCACACGTACTTACCGTGATTTAGAACGTCTATTGACTAAATGGCAAACAGATTTCGACACGAAACATCGTTTATCTTACGAAAATCTGTCTCAATCAGTTCGACAACGTGATGTAGACTTGGCGACATATCGCGAAACTTTACAATCAGTTCAACGTGATATCAATCAGATGCAATTACAACAAAATCACTTACAGGATGAATTGAAACTATTGGATACACATGAAAAAGAATTGGAAATGAATCTACAAAGTCTAGAAAACGATATTCTACAATTGCCACCCTTGCAACAAGACATCTATTCAATTCAACAACAAAATATGTACCTCAATCAAAACTTACCATTAACATTCAACGAACGTATGAAAAACTTTCAATTAATGGAACAATTGGATTCGTTAGTGAAATGTTCAACCAAAGATTTACAAGAAATCGTTGATAAAATGAACGAGCAAGATGATGACAATGATCAAGAACAGGATATAACATCAACCAATCAATCGACTGATCCAACATTGATTAACGAACAAAATATCAAGCAATTAACTAAAACATTGGACTCGTGTTTCAAAATGTTGGCGTTCGTTGATACAAATGTAACAGATATTGAAAATAAAGTCACCCAAACAACTCAACGTTTACTTAATTCCTAAACCTTTCATCTGTATTTTCTTTTTGTTTGAAAAAAAATAAATTTCCTCATTGAATAAAATCTTTGTTTGTGTATCACTGCGAACCATCATACATTTTCATTCTATAGACCTCATGCTATACTTTAGATATCTTGGTACTATGCAGATTAACATGCAGTTTACTCGAAAACTTTCTTCTCTTGCCAAGCATTTTGATACTTACTCGAAATTTCAACCGACACCGGTAACTGTAAAAAGTCTCATTGATTTTGGTATGTTGAAATGAATTTCAAAGGAAAATCATTCATTCTCTTTCTGTCATAGCCGTCGATGGCGATATGAAACAATCGTACAAATTCTTACGCGTAGAACTACTTGTACGATGGTCACATATGCGAAAGGAAATGAATTTGATACCAGGAAGGTACAATTAACATCGAAAAATGTCACTTGAAGTCGTTATGCTTTCGATAGATTATTGGAAATGCCAAGTTTTAAATTAGCGAATTCACTCTATGACCAAAGTTTTACAGAAGTCTTAGCTTTTAAAGATGCGGAACCCGATGCTACAACACTTCGCAAGTAAAACATTTCTTGCATTCGTTCGATCTTCTGATCTTGTTATAATCGATCTAGGTTTACGGAAACTTTAGTGGATATTCGTCGTCGACATGCGAATATCGTTCCAACTTTAGCTCGAGTGCGTAACAACGAAACAGTTCTATTGAACAATCGTTCCATCTGTATAGGCTTATATGGAATTGGACAAAGCAGGACCGATCGATTTAATCGAAAAAAATCGTTTGCAATACTTCTATGATCGATTTTTTATGAATCGTATTGGTATACGAACATTGATTTATCAACATAGTTAATAATCCGAAGATTTTCTCATTCGTTTGACTGACGAGTGTGTCTTTCTAGCTCTGCTGTTTGGAAATGAATTTCCTCAGCATCCACAACAAGCGGGCATAATCGATCCTTATTGTGATGTTGCCGGTGTCGTTCGAGGTAAATCAAAGAAATTTCTTGATAAAACAACGAACTAATAGACAAGGAAAGGTTATACATTACATGCACGTTAACTTACATCAGAAAGAGAAATACAAATGTCTACCAATGGACTTTATCATTGTTATATTTATCTAAACGTATATATAAAACTGATTACTTTGTGGGTATGTTTTTCACCTGTCTAGAAGAAAGCAACTTATTTATATTTGAAATGAAATCGAGCTTTTGCCTAAAGGGTCGAGATGTTCTATATAATTGCCATTGGTAGAGGATTTTGTCCTTGGAAATAATCTTGATTAGATTTTTCTTTTTTTCTTCATGTCACATGATTGAGGAAATTGACAAATGAAACGGTACCTGCCGACCTTTGTACTTTCTTCTTTGTCAATACTGACTGCAAAGACTGATGTGTCAATTGAGTCGAGATGGATATCATGGGCAAACTTCAGATTTTTCACTTGTTATAAGACAGAAAGAACGAAAAATCTTCTTATTTTTTTTCTACGAAAAAAAAACAGCGATAGAAGACAACAGAAACAAGTCGATTTGCACCAGGATTGATTACCCATCTATTCGATTTACACGTGCTGCTTTCATCTACCTAGATGCGTATGCAACAGCCAAGATTTTATTCGAAAAATCATCCTATCCTGTTCCACCAGTCGAAATATCTACTCATACTGGTATACTACTATTCTTCACCAGAAACTCTCAATACATATTCGATTGATTTTAGTGCATGAAAATGAAAAAGATCGTGTCACCATTGTTTATATTCCGGCACATATCTATCACATTGTATTTGAATTACTGAAAGTAAGTTTTGTGTTGCTATTCTATTCTCAATGGAAACCGATTGTGTTAATTAGAACTCACTTCGGGCAACTGTTGAACGACACGGTCAGGATGCTAAACAATATCCACCGGTGAAAGTTCGAATTGTGAAAGGTCATGAGGATTTAACCATACAAATAGCTGATCGAGGTGGTAAGTAGAATGTCATACTGATGTTTTGAATATGCAGACAGTTAACGATTTGCAACAGGTGGTGTTCCTCGTTCAAAGATATCCGAACTGTTCCATTATATGTATTCAACAGCACCGAAACCGAATTCTGATTTTGCTATCGACGGGAAAGGAACACCTATAGCTGGTCTTGGTTATGGCTTACCTATTGCTCGTCTTTACGCGAAATACTTTCAAGGAAATCTCGCTTTATCGTCAGTTGAAGGTCTTGGCACGTGGGCGTACATATCAATCAAGGTAATGATAGAAAATTTTCATTCGAAAATTGATTCATTTGCCTTTAATTGTTGGTTTTGTAGGCAGCAGCGGAAAATGCCAGGTAAGAATTCGAACATTTCGATACTGTTCGATAAACGTATTTTTGTCTTCCTAGTGAATTGCTACCAATATTCAGTAAAATCCGATATTCATACACAACGAAAAAAGGATCGGATTGGACAAAGAAATAAGAAAGTTCTTTTTTTTCTTCTTTCCTTTTCGTTTGCTAAGTAGACATTATCTTGATTTATATATGTACGATTTCCGAGAATAATTTTAGATAGATGGAGAACGATTAGATTAGGGTAGATTATTCCATACGAAAATCATGTATTTAACACGATTTCTACGTAAACAACCGCCAACAATAACATATTTAGTTGATCACTATGCACAATATCCACCGACTGGATTGACAATGAAAAAAATTGTTGAGTTTGGTAACGATGAAAACTTTCGTTCTTTGTTCTTTCATTGTTTCTCGTTTTGATATCTTTAGCGCGTGAAGGTGATGCTCATCAATCGTTTTTATTTCTTCGAAGTGAATTACCAATTCGATTAGCATCGATGATGAAAGAAATGAATCATCTTCCGTCACGCCTTCTCGACATGCCAAGTGTTGAAACAGTGAATAGTTGGTATGGAACAAGTTTAATCGAATTACACTCATTCAAAGGTCTCAAACCAACAACAGACGTGGTTAAAAGGTAAAACAACGGCGAATATGATCAAAAATTCGAAATTGTTTTCTCGTTCGGATGTCTAGCTTTACAGAAATTCTACAGAATATAAGAAAACGACATTCAACTGTCGTCGAAACGTTGGCGCAAGTGAGTTATTGCATATCGATCTGTCTTTGCATTGAAAGAAACTGGTTGTAGGGTTATATGGAATTTTCCGATTTGGGTCAAATGAAAGAATACGAAGGATCACAAATACAATATTTTCTTGATCGTTTTTATCTATCTCGCATATCAATTCGGTTACTCATTTACCAACATAGTAAGAACTTCATCTTCACATACTATTCTCTATCTATCGTTCTTCTTATTAGCAATGTGCTTTGGCGAAGAGGTACCTATACATCCAACACATCTAGGTTTCGTTGATCCATCTTGTTTTGTCGAAGATATCATTCGAGGTCAGATGACGTTATTATGAATAAATCAACAATAGAGATTATTTTTTTCTCCATTCAGACGCCTATGAGAATGCTCAATTTCTATGTGAAAGTTATTATCTGAAATCTCCTCGATTAGAACTTCGTAGTATAAATGGTAATTAATATAGATGCATTCTTGCTTACACGATATGCACGTCACTTCTGTTTAGCAACAAATTTGAATGAACCAATTGCAATAGCTTATGTTCCATCACATCTATATCATGTTATGTTTGAATTATTCAAAGTACGAATGAAAAACTTGCGACAGTTGACTGTAATTTCATGTTTTGAATTTAGAATTCTATGCGTGCAACAGTAGAATATATTGAAAGTAAAAAGAATGACGATAATCTACCTCCTATAAAAGTTCGTTATCTTAATTTCATTAACTGATCGATCGTTCTTGATGTTTATAGGTTGATATTGTAAAAGCTAAAGAAGATTTAACTATTCGTATTAGGTAAGTCAGATTTCAATCAGGTTTCGTTCTTTGATGGTTGATTTTAGTGATCGCGGCGGAGGAATTCCACGTTCAAAAGCTGATAAAATCTTCCGATATATGTATTCGACTGCGCCACGACCTGTTTCATTACATGATTCTCAACATTCCGGTCCGATTCCTTTAGCAGGCTTTGGTTATGGTCTTCCTATCGTATGTCTATCCCTAAAAAGCTGAATGAACGATCGACTTGATTACTTAGAGCCGACTCTACGCCCGATACTTCAACGGTGATCTCGAAATCCATTCCATTGATGGCTACGGTACCGATGCCTATATTTATCTTCAAGTAAGTGAAGAAAAATGCGTAGGGTACCACTTATAATGTTAACTTTTAGGCTGTTGAAGATCAAGCGAGTGAATGGTTACCCATATGCAATCGAGCTGCTTATGAGTATTACATATCACGGAAATATCAGTCTGATTGGACGAAGAAGAAATAGTATCTGTGATTACCGATAGTTCTCTCTTGTGTTCGTTTTCCGAAATATTCTTCTAGTGAAGCAAATCTTTGTTAGTGTACTTATTAATTGATTGATTTAATGAGACTGAATGTGACTTTCGTATGTATATTTTCGAAGAGAAATTAATGATTTTCTTGATTAAAATTTATTCAATTCCGCACGGTTTATCTTTGTTAAAGTAGAACACATTTGTCTTTTTGATGACGAGATTTCTTTTTCGAGGTCTGAGGTTTGACTGGCTGAGACTTTGCCGTCGGTGGTCGAGCCGAGCTTCGCGGATCTTTGTCAAAACGACTGCCATGTCGCACAGCTGTTCGATTGATTTGTCGAACGAGATCAAAGAATATCTAAACAACAACTCAGTCATGGAAATCATCGGTCAATCATCTCGTACTTCATTAACATTAAGAAGATTCTTGGCTGAAGTTTCAAGAAAAGTACAGTCCCATCGCCGTGCTAATTCTTGCCCTATTTGACGTCCGACAGCACGTTCATCTTCTAAATCACTCTTGTTGCCGACTAAGACCAGTGGTGGCGTGCCCTAGAAAACCTCGTCATTCATGTATTCGCTCTTCTCGGAAATATCGTCATCTTACATCAATTTCAGTGTCTTTGATGCGAATGATCCGTTCGTAGAAATCAGTCAAATCGTTGAATGTCGCTTGTGATGTGATCGAATAGACTAGAATAAAGCCATGACTATTTTTCACGTACAGATCTCGCATTGCAGAGAATTCTTCCTGAAGAAACCAAATGAAACAATGATACTCTGCTTCAGATGGTTTTTACCGTGCCGGCTGTATCGAGAATTTCTAGTGAATATTGTTGTCCATCGATTTCTACATTCTAGAAAATATGCCTGAATGAAAGTTCGAAACAAATCTCATAAAAAAACCTTTTTATAAACATCTTCGATTGTTGGATCATATCTTGGCATGAAAATACGTTGAACAAATTGCATTGTCTGCAATAAAATATTCATATTCAGCTTGCAAATTCACCAGAAGGATCTTTCATCTTACCAAACATGATTTTCCTACACCACCTGATCCGAAAACGCACAATTTATATTCCGAAAGTGGCATTTCTCTTCTGTCGAGCAAATTTCAAAACAATTACTTTCTTTCTTTCGTTAACAACGCTCTGTCTACTAGATGCAAGAGAACACTTCTAAAATATTGATTAAGCTTCTCTATACAACTTGTCAAATGCAAAATTTCGTTCGTTCTGATGGCAACATTCTCTACAGACGTCAACAAAAGAAATTTCGGGATGTTTTTCTCTCAACTCGTGTGATTCACCGTTATTGACAAAAATGAGAGATTAATTTTTCTTTCGTATCGACTGTCCTCTTTTCGGTTTCGTAGTAGTCTTTAGCGCAAGGCTTTCAATTAATCATCGGAGCTTGTTGAAAAACTGTTCATGCACAAATCGAACGATACGCTGTTTTGTTTCTATATCTTCTTCTGATCAGTGTAACGATACTATTTCTTATATAATCACATTTTGACAAGCATTTGATCAAGCGTGTACGTTCACATTAGTTAGTGATTTGATCATATTGTTTTTTGTTTGTGCACTTCCCAGAAGGGAAAAAAACACGTGAGGAGTTTTGATTTATTCTATAAAAGAACACAACAATCTTTGATATGTCCAGTAGATTGTTTTTCATAGTACGGGGTTGACTGAGCAGCATATTCATGATCGGCAGTTTGTTCGACATGATTGCGATCGGGCGATGCAAGTTGCTTCGGTCGATGTCCTTTACGATTAATCTGTCGAATTAAATCATAGAAAATCTAAATTATCCACGAGATAGATAAATTTGCTTCTGATCTTCTTTCTCTCACTTCATCGACATTGATTTCTAGTTTCGCGGATGTCTCTAGGAATGTACAACCGAACGAACGAGCTAGAGATTCTCCTTGATGTTTTCCCACTGCACGTTCGTCTTCCAGATCACATTTATTTCCAACCAATACCATTGGTATATCACTACCAATATCTTTAACACGCATGATTTGATCTTTGATATCGACCAAATCATTGAATGTTGCTTGAGATATAATTGAATAAACGAGAACAAAACCTTGACCATTTCTCATATATAAATCTCTCATTGCTGTGAATTGTTCCTTGGAGAAAAAGACAAAACATGAATATATTTACTCATAACATTCGTTTCTCTTACCGTTCCAGCAGTATCGAGGATTTCCAACATGCAATTCACCCCATCGATTTCTATTTCCTACATAGAAAACGTCGTTTGACTCATTTCAAAGCGTGAATCAAATCACTTTCGATCTACCTTTCGATAACAATCTTCGATAGTTGGATCGTATTTGCCAACGAACACGCCTTGAACAAATTGTACAGTTAATGCACTTTTGCCTACACCACCACTACCTAATACGACTAATTTATATTCGTGCATGATCTAAAACTGAAAATCGTCTAAGTACTAAAAAGAATTGCCTTCGAGCAACGTGAATATTCAATTGACGAAAGCAAAAAGGTCATTAGAATGATAATGTGGACATATACTCACATTCGATCGAGTCTTCCTCAATGTGATAGAATGAAAAGTTCAGTTGCATTCATCCATTTCTTTTTTTGTCTCTTTCGTTCTATCTACACCTATCTCATTCGAACGATGGACTCAAGCTAGACGAGAAAAACAAGCTTAGAACACATCAGATAAAGAGCGAGAAGAAAAAGACACGTCAAAATCTATTTTCTTCTTTCATCTTAAGTCGAATGAATACAATCCTATATCGATGATTACAATATTAATTTGCTTCTATGTACGCTGATAACACGAGAAGAAGAAATTCAATCTTTACACGCATAAAAACGATGAACTTAATGTGAAAATGCGCATACTTGTCTATTGCTTCTACTTTCGTTCGATATCTGAAATCGAAGATGTTACTAACACGTCATCTGCGAACCAATTTCGTATTGCAATCAGATGACAAATTTTCAGGCACGAAAAAATGAGTTACATTAATAGGTGCAGTGAAAAAAAAGAAGAAAAACATGATTTTTATCGCCTACATGTGTTTGAATAATTTCATCTGTGCACATGATCCATTCATGTGGAACACTTGCTTACTTTTCTCTTTCTTTTACGCTCATTATTTATGTACAATTTTCTTTTTTGCTTAACCAACTCTATAACGTTTTGGACGATATCAATAACAACAACAAACATAAAGGTACTGGCTTGGAAAATATTTAATTAACATGGGTGGATTAATAAGTGCGTATTTCATTTTCAAATTAAACTTCATTATAACGATTTCCTTTCTTTGCTCGTGGCTAGGTCGTGCAGCGCGTATAGTCAGCAAAGATCCGTATTCGGGTTCGACGATTGTCATTCATAACGTTCCGTACACATTCGAACGCCGTTTGGGTTCGGGTGGATTTGGTAATCGATTGATTGACTAAAATGGACTAGAAACTAATTAGTCGTCTCTGTCGTTGATCGTAGGTTCGGTCTATCAAGCAAGGCGAAATGATAGTAAAGCAGTCGCTGTTAAAGTCATTAATTTAAATGGTTTACCACCAGCTCGTAGTCAAAGTCTTGTGCGAACATATTTGAACGAAGTTGGCCATCTTCAACGATTACGACAGGCTTCACGACATGTTGTTGTTATTTATGATTTCGATTTTGATCCTCGATCTGGTCAAGGTATTTATAAGACGGATGAAATTCTATGCAGACAAGTATCGATTCTCGAAATCAAATGTGCTTTTTATTGTTGTAAACAGCGATCACTTTCATGACAATTTTGTAAAAAACTGAGGGTCGGAAGGCCGATCTTTAAGGATAAAGAGTTGTCATTGGATTGCTAGAGAAGGGATTGAGGAAAGATTCGTTTTTGTACTTTGATGATTGGATTTTTCGTTTTGTGACTAGGATATATTGTGATGGAATTAGGCGGAGAGAATCTGACAGCACTAATTCGTCGACTACGTTCTATGAATGATGGTGGTGGTCCAGCAATTGATCCAGTAATGATAAAAGAGTTTTGGCATCAAATGGTTAGTATTGTTCGTGTTTTGCATACCAATGGCATTGTTCATATGGATCTAAAACCGGATAATTTAATTCTCTTCGGACGAACACTGAAAATCGCTGATTTAGGTATTTCCCGAAAGGCCGATAGTTTAGGGTAAAAGGAACGATTTCTATCTCAAATTTCTATTGAATCATTTTTTGTTCTTTCAACTAGCTACGCTCGAATGGGTACACCACTGTTTAGGTAAGCCAAACATTATACAACTAAACCCCTCAAATATTCTCCCTTTAAATCTAGCGCTCCAGAAATTATGACAGACGTTGCTGGTCTTCAGCGAGTTTATGGTCCAAAAGCTGATATTTGGTCGTTGGGCGCCATTCTCTACTTTATGGTCTATGGCCGACCACCGGCATATCATGCTTTAGCAGCCAATCCACCACTTGGCCAGCCGCCTTATCCTGACTCGTCACTAAATGATATTCTTCGACGTACATTAGTAACCAATCCACACTCGCGGGCCGACATTAATGTACTTATATTACATCCATTCACTCGAAGTTAAACGTGCTGACTTCAACATTGCTTTCGTTTTTCTAAAGTTTTAATAGGAAAGTTCTCGGGGATTACTCATTGTATCACAATAAACATTGCATTTCAAGTTGATTTTCGAATTTATTTTTTCGTATTGCATTTCTAATAATTCTGATGCTTTTTTTTCTCAATATCTATGAAAAGAAAACGAAAATAGACGTGATTATTCTCGAGAAAGTCAACTCTAATCTTTTTCGTTTCCAATACATCTCTCGCCAATGCGTGTTCGCCTTAAATGATTATCATTCCTAAATATATTTTGTTTTCATTCATAATCAATATTCGTCCTTCTATGCAGATACCTATCGAAGGTTCATCCAAAACAATGATAAGATCAAATAATCATCCTTCGCCAATCTTGATACAAAATAAAACATTTTTATCATATGAGATCCGTTTCGTACTTGGAGTCGCAGATAGCATCTTCTTACGCGGGATATCATCATTCGATCGGTATTTTGGAGACAGATGTTAACACTGTTCATGTTTGGCAAAATGTTATGAAAATAAAATATTTGGACGTAAGTATTTTCTCATTTTTCGTACTTGAGTCGAAGAAGATCGATTTGTACGGTGGTTTGTTGTTAGTGATGTGCAAGAATGCGAGTCATGTCTTTCAACAGATATATTTCTGATTGAATATCTTATATAAAAGGAAACAAAAAATGAGACACGACAAAGGAATGTACCAGCATTTGAACTAGAAAAAGAAAACAACTCAATACATGGTCCTTGATGAAGTTATAATGACTAGAAGTACGTATGTTTGTAGAATAGAGAAGGCTAGATAGAGAAAACTATTTGTGAGAAATGAACGACCAGCATTCAAAGGAGAATTTGGATCAAGCATTGCTATCCTTTTCTCGTTGTATTGTCTCTGTCAGATACAGTCGTAGTTGTTCATCCGATGGTGATTTTGAAGAATCAATCTGTGTCGAAGAAGGTGCTAAACTCGTTAAATGTTCAACAGATGACAAGGGAACTGTTTGAGTTGATGATGATGGATTAATATCAGGATTAGGAGAAAATGTTGTAGGAGATACCGATTCATCATTACTGGATATGGAAAGATCATTCATATTAATTGTCATCGGGTGGTAACGATTTTGATCGGGAATATCTTTTGTATAAAGGTAGATTGCTGATGATGATGATGTTGGTGGGTGATTAGTTGGATATAGGCGTTGATGATGATCTTGTCGAGGAGTTATTGATGATGGTGCGGATAGTTGAACGTGCACTTGTTGTTGGGCTAAATGTAGTTGTTGAATTGAACTCATTTCACGTTTTAAGGAACTGATTTTAGATTTGGTTCGAACGAGTTCTTGTTTCATGGCTCGATTTTCATCTTCGAGACGTTTCTTTTCCTAAATAAAAATCGAATTTAGATGTATATGTTGAAAATACGATTTTCGTTTACTTCTTCAGCTTGTCTTAAACGTTCGAAGATTTCGTACTGTGTCGGATCGGTCGTTGTTGGTAATGATCGTAGTGATTCTGTCAAGGAGATTTTTCTTGGATTTAGATTTTGACTACTACCATAATTGGTTGACGTTCTTGTCTGTGATAACGTCGAAGTATTTGTATTGGAAGTAAAACATGTATCATCATCACTAACATCACCTTCGAGAAACGGATCTTGGCTGTAGGGAGGTTGCTGAAGAGATTTATCATCTGTATCGGTTTTAATGGTCGATGGTTGGGATGTTGCCGTCGAAGTGTTCGGCATTGTTGAGGTTAACGTTGATGATGGAGCGGGGCGATTCCAAGTAAAGCTTCGTTCATTCCATTTTTCAAAACTATCAGAACAAATCAATGGGCCGCGTGGAATTAACTGCTGGATCGGTATTGTACTTGTCGATGTCGCACTGTTGACTGTCGTGATAGTTGTTAGTGAGCTTGCTTGCTGTGGTGAAGGTGGATGGGTGTAATAATAATCGTCGTTGGAATCGGAAAGAATCTGTTTTCGTCGTTTCAAGGAAGAGGGTTTACGTAAATGCCATCGATTATGAGGTGCAGATTTATCAAGAATTTCTTGGTGTGAATGAGGTTGTTCATCTTCAGATGAACTTGTGCAACTCTCAGACGTGCCCGATGATGATGACGAGGAAAAGTTGATATCTTCGGTTTGAGTTGCTTTCTGTTTACGAGTTTTTCGTATGCGAAACGAGTTTCGACCGGGTCGGGAATCAGTGACTGAACCTTGTTTATTAACTGGATGTTGTCGCTTTTGACGACATTCCATAACCACTTGATCTTTACAATGACGATGAGCATTGATTCCACAATCTAAGTTTCAACATTTATTCTTCAGCGGGAACATTTGAAGAACGTATTGATCAATTTACCTTTACATTTCCAACCTTGTTTAATCAATCCCCACAATAGGCCAGTACAGTGAACACAGAATGTTGGTTTAAAATAAGTTGTTTCATGAAAATCATGTTTAAATTCACCTTTTAAATCATGATATTTAGCTCGAATGAAGTACGAACGCATCTCGGTTTTCGATATCATTCCGTCTCTAGACAAAACAGTTTCCATCTCAGCATCATAAATTGCACAAATTGATATCTCAACTTACTGATCGGCATCGAGCACAGTGAATGTGTCAATAAATGGAAAGTTTTGGGCGATTTCTTCGAATTCAGTATGAGATATATAGCCGTCACGGTCATGATCATAGGTAGTAAAAACGGCTTCGACCATAGCATTAACATGACGTTGAATTGTTTGAATGTCAATAGTCTGACTTACACCAGCAGCCCAGTCAGCAAATACGGGACTTTGAACTTGTTCCTTTTTCTTCAGTACATCAGCAGAATCATTTGCTGACTCGCCAGGAGACAAGCCTCGAGATACTTGATCCGGCTAAAAGAGGAAAAAAAAGAAATTAATAAAAACTTAAATTAAATAGGATGTCTTACGGATGAAACGGATGAGCGAGGTTCTCGTGCTAATGAAAGTTCATAAATTTCATCCTCTGTATAACTTAAATCGACCGAAAGCTAAATTTAAATTCAAATAACCTCAACAACGTTTATGACTTGCCAACAGGCATCGCCTACCGTTAGTAAGTTTATTAAATCATGATTGGGCTGAATCGGTGGGATAGATACTTGTAGATTGGTTAACGTACGAAAGACTATACTTAGTTGAACTAATTTACGAAAATTGATTAGATCATATTCAAAACGATCTTGTAAGGCAACATGAAGGGAAATAATATCTTTCAAATGAACACCGCTAGAATCAAAGCAAGGTTCTTCTTATCGAATTTGAGACATTCAAGTTTATCTCACGTACATAATCGGTATTTTGAAACCTTCAGACTCGGCTAAACTTTTTCGGTATTGTGCATAATTTGAATTCGACGATAACAAATCGGTCATTTCACTGAGAAACTAAAACAAAACAACAATCTTTGAAAACGAAACAGTCACTGCGTGAAAAATCTACTTTGATATCTTCCGTTGATAAACACATCATTGTTTTTGATAAACGAGCCAATGCACTATGTGAAATTCCGCCAATAACTGCCAAACATGTATTAAAGTTTTGTAAATCTCTCAGGTACTAAAAGAAACAAGTCAGTGATGAATCATTTTTCGTTGTCGATTCTTGTTTTACTTTAGCAACTTCGAGGAATTTATGTATAATCTCCGCTCGTTGTTTCGGTGTCATTTTACTTAGAACCATACACTGTATCCATGTCGATAGACCATTGAAGAACTGGATCGACCGTTCCAATCGCGGATTTCCTTGTAGAGTATTTTTGATCGCATAGATTTTGTAATCAGTAAATGTAATACGTCGCAGGATTTTCCATTCTAAATAAGTCAATTGAGCTGCTAATGTTTGTGACTCGATGTTATTGAACGCAAGTGACACAGTCTTGTTTTTTGCTTGATTTCGAACTGTCATCTGCCGCATCCAATCAAACGATGGTCTAAAGGCACGAATCGATTATATATATTCGAATGAGAAGGTTTAGCGACGTACATTTGAGATAAATCGACGAGATTCATACAGTCACTATCACCAGAAGACTCGATCAGATTTTGCATCTTTTCACATGCATCTTTTAAACGTTTATCAAGGTCAAAATGCATGGGAAAATTTTTTATCCAGTAACTAAATACATCAAAGTCAAACCAGTGATTTTCGCTTGCAAATGAAAAGAATTTTACCTATATGCTTGACAAACACGTAGTTGACACTCTTTGAATTGTCGCTTTTCTTGGTCAATTATTGCCTTTTTATAATCGTCTCCGTTATGTTTGAATAGATCATAGAGCATATTGCTCAAATGTTCGGATTCCATAATCCATTTGTGCATAAGAAAGAAAACTTTCGGATATTCACTCTCATCAATTAGTATACCGTTCGGATCTAAAACAAAAGTCACTTTCGATATGAATGTCATTCGTAGAGGTATGTGAATAACTTACCGAATGAATCGATCAGAATTCGAATTAGCCGGTTCAGTGTGGCTCCTTTAACATGAATGCCTGATAGTAGTGGTCGATCTTCTTCGATATATTCAGGTGTTTTTTCACTTGTTTCAGAGCGCGTATCTGATTCGTCGCCTCCGCCACTGCTTGTCATTTGCTGTTTATCAATCGATGACAGCGAGTCATTCAACGTTCGACTACTTATTGACGGATGCTGTAGTTGAACTTTCTTTCGTACATGATGATCACTCGGTTCGATTTCAAATGTCACCGGACTATCTTCATCGAGATCTTGTATATTAGATATAGCTTGTGAACGTTTGATTGTTGTGGATAGTTTATTTGAATCACGATCAACACCACCGAGACGAGATTTGGTTCCATGGTCGACTATGGCTGAACGTGGAATTAACGGAGGCGGCGGTGGTGGGGCAGGCATCGGAGTTGATTGATTCGATGACAATAACGTTTCATCGGATGATATTGTCACCGGTGGTTGTGAATTGCTAGCGGTGCTCATCATTTATTATTTATCGATATGAGCTTTAACGAGAAGAAAAACAAGAACATTAAATCGATCTCCCTTGAGAAAAGAATCATTCAAGAAAATGGAGTTTACAGCTGATGTTTATTATTTATTTCACGAGGCAACTAATGATGACGCACAACGGTTTTTTTTTGTCTTTTCTTCTGAACTATGACATTCTAAACGGATGAGAGAGAAAAAACTCGGATAAGGAAAAGAAAACGGAGAAAAAAAGAAGCAGTAGGAGAAGAAGAAGAAGGAATTACTTTATGTATGTGTCAACGACATACACTCTACTTTCGTACTCTCTTTACGTCACTTATTTAACGAGAAAGAAAACCACTTTGTCTTAAATTACATTTGACCAAGTAGAGAAGACGATCGTGAAAGAAGAAAGAAAAGCTTTCATGCGCATATATACATATGGAAACATGTAGGTGGAGAATATTTCTTTTCAAAAGCACTCACCAGATATTATTAGTTAAATACACCTCTACATTACGTAGTGGTGTTGATGAACGATAATAATCAATCATCAAATCGACAGACCAATGATGCATATTCGAGGTTGCAACACGTCGGATCTTGAACATAATAAAACATATAAATATAAATTGAAGAAAAAAAACCAAAAAGAATAGCGTTAATAATGCTCGATGATGATGATGATGATGATTTAGAAATGTTGTGTGCGAACAAAGGCGGAAGAAGAAAAAGAAAAAAAGAAGCAACAGAAGAAAAGGAAGAAAAAAGATTTCTATTGCAATAGAAAGTAACAACTAGCTCATTGAATGGGTGGGATCTTCGACGCGCTCGCTCGTTTACTGTCAAAGAACAAATGCAAAAAAGAAACGCGCGTCGGATGATAGTAGTAGACCAAAGAGTTGGAATGGCTAAAAATAGCGAAATATACGCGTGCATCGCGCAACGTCTTCTGTTTCTTTTCCTCAACCGTATAGGTTTTTCTAGCCACGGTAGTCTGTGTGTTGTTTTTTGTATGTTTCTTCAATAGCAATTGTTATTGAACAGATACGCGTGAGTTATGCTATTGAATAAGAAAGATAGATAAATGGCAAACAATGCGTCCGACGTACATGACGAGAGTGATTGAAAAAAAGAACTGTGGGTGAGGGTGTGCACGAGAGAATGAACAGCGACTGTTTCGCGTTTCTGCACATTCAGGCCTTTGCATGTTCTAGCTAGTAAGTCGAGAGAATGTTGAAAGAGAGAAAAACCAAGCGAGATTTTCTGAATAGAAAGAATGTAAAACAAGTCAAGTTCGACATTGTATGTGCGACAGCTTTGCATGTCTCAGTCTGATTCAACTAGGATAATAAAATCAAATCGAAACGAACTGAAGAAATCAATCGCTATGTTTTTGTCATCGTCAACCTTAGAACAGATCTTAACGAGTGCGATACTCACACTATGTCACTAACCATAATAGCAGCATTACGATACATTTTTTTTCTCTCTCTCTCTCTTTCTCTTCTTTATCCTAGGTTTTTCTTCCCTGTTTCTATCATTTGACATGTGCGTAAAATACTGTCGCGAAGAAGTAGTCGTCGCCATCGTCGTCCTCGTCATCTGAAAGATTGTTGCAATGACGAAAAAAAAAGAGAGGATGCACAATGACAGAAAAAAGCTCGAGTAAACGCGTTTGCGTTCTCTTCTCCGTTGTTTTTTTTCTCTGTCTATCTTGCAACGGCAATGTCGTCTGCTTGTCTGTCATTCCATTATTTCTTTCCCCTTTTTTTTTCGCTCTTACGTTCCTTACCAGCTTTAGAATGTGTGCGTGTGAACACACAGAAAAGAAGTATTTTTATTTCAACTAAACTGAGCTGCTCAATGACGAAAGAACACATATATTGTGTGCCAATCATACACGCATCTAGCATTGAAGATTTGTGTCGTTGGCCACTTGAACACACAAATAGACGAATGCTCTCAACTGATCCGGTATGAATATAGATATCGATGACGACAAAAAACAACGCGAGGAGAAAATAATGACGAATATATATATTGAAAAAACATCTCAATCCAAAGGAAATAAATCTAATAAAAAGAACACAACCCAAAGAAAAACATCCAACAGTAGAGATACGCATTTGATGACATTCTCTACTCGTTAAACATTTCTCCTTGAACAACTTTTAATGACATTAAACATTAATCGTTTCTGTTGCCTTTTTCTCTGGCCTAATGTCATGCAAACGATTATTTGAATAACAATGCCAACACCAGATTGTTATGAACTTTCTAATTTCCGACACCTCTGATTCATAACTAAATAGACCAAGAAGCACAAGTTCTAATTACTATTTTATGACAACTGTACAAAACTTCTATTTAATAATGAAAGTTTTCGATGAGATATAAATAACATACATCAAAAGAGAGAGAGAGAGAGAGACACATTGCCTCCTTTGATAAATGCATTCTGCAGGTGTTTTCCTTCTTGTTATCTTCATCGAAGATAAGTGTGTTTCAGAAATAACGCAATTGAAGAGTGTATGAAACTGTTGAATGAATTTTCAAGTTGTAAATTTGATTTGTTTTAGAAAAATACAAGAGAACTTATGTTCAATGTCGACTCGACTTGTTTGCCAATGAAATGAAAGCTCGAAGAAGAATTTGGCATCCTTCTTTAATTAACAAAACAGGACAATTTGATTTTCTATTCATATGAATAGGACATTTTCTTTACAATCATAAATAAAACATGTCATAATGAGTATCTAGATAAACAACTCTATAAACACGCGAGAAATTCAACGGTGATCATCACCGGCGCAGTGAGTTTCTTTGTTTTGGAAAGAATAAACGGTGATTTTCAATGAGCGAACGGTATTAATCGTATTCTTCTGGTGAAACGATTTTCCGTTCTTTGTTAATTCGTCCACCTAGGCAGCCTTGAAAGAAATGTCGTTGATAATGAAGAAAGTCATTGTAGATCACAGGATTCTGTTCGAAATTATGTTTCGCGTCAGGATAAACCTGAAAAGTTACACCAGAGAAAATTTATCTACGAGAATAAGTCTTCCGAGTATACCTTAAAATCGAAATTGACCTGCTTGTCAGTTAATACCTTCGCCAAGGTCGCCGAATGTTTAAAATGTACGATTTCTAAATGTGAACAACGGATTGAGATCGGTATTCAGTCGTTTTTCTCTTTACCATCAGCTGTTCCATGAACAAATGCGATACTTTTGTTTTGAACGTCGAGTTGAATAGACTAAAGATTAGATGATACAACAAAGCAACATTTGGACATTCCGAACTTACCGATTTCATGCCGCCATTCAATCCAATGATATGCTCGCTGAAGGTCGTATCTTGAGAAACGACATGATCGAAATTGAACATTAATATGATCAAAGGTAACTTACAATAATGAGCTAAATCATAGACAGGTGACTGAAGAAATGCACAGATGTATTCATCTTGTCCTTCCAGTAATTTCAGTGCAACGACAGCAGCAGAACCCTATATTCAAAAGTAGTCGATAAAATTTGATGATAAAAATTCGATCTCACTCGTGCTCGAAGTCCAAATCTGGTATCATTCAATGTTTCGTTGAACTTTTTCTCATTCCATTTCAAATGTCTATAGAACTGCAAAATGAACATTCGTTTCATCGAGATATTTTCACTTTACTGAGCAACTTTGATGTAATCTTGATATTGTCGTTCTAACCAGTCCTGTGAATTTGATTTCAGATAATTTTCATCCTGCCCTATACTACCATGCGCATCGAACATGACAACAGTTAAATTGTCTTCTATAACTTGAATATAACTAAACACAAACAAGTTCTTCACGAAGCGACTACCCACGTAGACATACTCATCTAAAGGCAATACATATTTCTTTGTCACACGTTGATCATACAATCGATCGTTGCTAGAAATCAAATAGAAATCAATCAGATCGATTCTTTCCAAGGTACTTACATTGTCATGATCACTGGATAGGATGCGATGGTTTTATTCGGATTGTAATTAGGTGGTAAAATAATCATACCATTACCAACAACTATGCAAAATAATCATCTGAACAAATCAAAATCATGATTCTAGCCATTTTTCTTACTCGAATTTTTCTCGTCTAATGGCACTGTAAAATATTCAATCGATGGCATTAATCGATTACTGATCCATTCTCGAAATGGTTCATTATCATCGATAAGCACTGAAATGTGAAATGATACTCAAAATGTTAGATATTCTCTTATATTTACCCAGCCTTTCCATTCGATTATATAATACAGAATAAGGAATAGATGGTCCGAGACATTCTAGAATATAATAGTTCCCCTTCCCAAGACTAAATTGAGCGTTGATGTATCCGCAGGACTCGTTACAAGATAAGCATTCAATTTCTGACACGGCATCCGTATGTGTCCATCTATGGTGGATAAAAAAAATATATTTCTAACATGTGAAGTTTTGTTTACCGATAGAGTTGCCTTTCGAGTGAATTCAGCGGTTCGAAACCGGTAAAATAGACTCGATCAAGATTGTCGACATGAAGAATTTCATCAGCATTGATGTCTTCAGGTGATTTCACATCAATTTGAGGATACTGAAAAGATATGAATGAATCAGTTTTGTACAGCTTTCATTTTATCGCTCACCGATCGATTGAAATGTATTCGTACAACACGTGGAAACGCTTTCTGGCCAGCCTTTCCATTAATGACAGGATCAAAACGAATGATATAAGCATATGGTCCCAAAGAGGAAAAGAATGGCTTCAAAAACCGTGATAACAAGTACCCTCGACTGGTCTCTTCGATATATCTTGACTTGAAACTAATTTTATCGTACGCTATTTCGTACAGTTGAATTGTACTTGTATTTTGCACACGATTTCCATATACGACTGCAAAACACGTATCACAGTACCAAATAATGTGATAAATATACATGTCCGACTTATTTCTATACAGATTGGAATTAGATTGACGAAAATACGTGTAAACTACACTTACGATTTCGCACTATCATTCGATTGTGGCACACGGATTGTCTTCTTCGTTCGAGTGTTGAAGATGAAAACATTCAGTGCAGGAATGGGATCGTTGTATTTCGGATACGGAATAGAATAAAGATCATCGTGCTCCAAGGTGAAGTCGTATTTTAGATAGTAATTTTTCGGCACGTCGGTTAGATTGATTTTAATGAATGCTAAATAACGATCCGTTGGCGACCAAAATAGAAGAGTCTTTCGGTTGAAAATCTCATCTGAAGAAAAGATTTGTTATTGAATACTGACAAGCTGTTTTCTTACATTCATAAATCCATTCAACGAGACCATTATGAACTGTAGCTCGATTACCGTCGAATGTCATTCGATAACTTGATTTTCTCGTTATATTATATACATAGATGTCGAAATTGTCAATGAAAGCCTACGAAAAAAACTCGTATTGTTTGAGCTTTTGAGGAAAAGAATCAAACTTACAAACAGATGATCAGAATGGGAGTATACTATAGCAGAGACTGTTCGTTTAGTTTCATTGACAAGTGCAATTGACGCAATCATCCTCGATTTCTCGTAAATATCATACTGATAATTTGTATAATATGACGAGATCTAAAAGACAAAAGCAAATACAAATATCAACGTAAAACCCAATCTTTTACCTTCTCTTTTTTGACTGGTATTAGTACGTACTTCGTCGATGGCGAAACAATTCCATATTTGACACTTTCCTGTTGAATAAAATCACCTCTGAACAGCATTTCCTTCTCGAGTATGTCACAATTATAGATCCATATGGAATCATTCGTATCCACATACGAAAAATAGCTATTCGATATCCATGTTCCATTCCAACTAGAAGATCACATTTGATCCAAATAATAAATATTTAATCAAAAATAAAATATTTACGATTTAGGTACTTTGATATTGAATATGTCTTGTTCGGTTAGTGAAAGAAGTTTATTATCAATATGAATTTGTTCTGAAAGAAGTTCAGATTGAAACTTTCAGAAAGAAGAGAACAGTATCTACTTACGTGTATTTGTTAAAAGAATCGCTGCAGCAATGAACAGACAAATGATTGCAATGACAATAAAGGCAATACCTAAACCTTTCCAATTTTGCTTTTTACTTGTACCACCGACCAATTCCTACATAGAAAAAGATATACCACTCAATTTCAGTCTTGATCAAACATCGCTGGAATCCAGTCAGATAACTCACCACACAAAATGAACAAAATTCTACGAAATTCTTCTGTTCTTCTTCCTCCTCTTCCTGTGTTTTTGCTGATAACATCGATATTTTCCTCATAATTTTACAAATCTCGATTTCTGTCTCACCTATCCAACGAAAATTACTTTTTCTGCTTGTCTGATATGATTGCTCCGTTGGTTCTCATTTCTTCCTAGTATATCTTCTTAATGAAGTGTCGAATGATATCAGAGATAATCAACAATCGTCTACTTTCGAGCCTGTGCAACTGTTACCATCGTCATTATGAAGTCTTTAGCAGATGAAACAAATATTATCACCAATATTCTTGTCACTCACGTGAAAAACAATTGGAGCTAGCATCGACGACGAGAATATCGCATGAAAATGTTAAATAATACGAAGATTTTCTATTAGTCGAGTAGAATCAATCACGCTTCCTTTACTCTGTAAACTAACTTGTTTTCTGCGAATGCCAAACACGACTTTACCCTCTTGGATCTATGTTGAATGCAAATGATTGCGATTTATTACTATGATCGATCTCTATCATATGTTTTATAATGTTAGAAATGTAACAACAATAAAGCAAAACGGAAGATTCAATTAGTAATCGATTTATTGTATGAATACTTGAAAAACTCTATCAAACTATTCATTGTTCACGCTAAGTATACGTATTTGACACGAATTGTATTCGTAGAGATTACCTGTCCATATCTAGATGATTGATGTTGACGTAAATGAAGAAAAATGGAAACCATTAGGCGGACTTTCTCAGACAAACAATATCGAACTGATTTGCTTCACCACTGACAAGCACTTCACGAAAGAAAACTTTCAATTATTCACTCACTGTCATCATGCATGCACCGAACAGAAAATCGCGAGCACATTCAGCCATTTTTGTGTCAAAAAGTCACTTTTTACTTGACAAGTCGAAGTCGTAGAAAAAGAAATTTACCGAGATTTATTTTATGGCAAGAGCAAAAAAGTGAACGACGACACGCGATTTTGTTCGAACATTCAAATCATTAGAAAAATATATCTTGATGAATAATCCCTTGTTTATAAACGACTTACCATCATTAGAAACTGAAAGAATTCAACAGCGAACAAATCACCGAATAGATGACAAATGATATCATATCTATCTTTGTCAATTGTGATCAACTGTTACTGTTTTTCTTTAACTTTAGTAACACACACACATACACACAGGAAATGCATTGTTTTTTCCCCTCTTCACACACTACTTAGGTAGATGAGTTCAAATGTTTACCATCCTTCATTTCTAATTATGGACATATCTAAGCATGTTACTTATTTGGCCAAGCGCATCACTAGAGTGGCACTCTTAACATGCCAAATGTTTCTGTATAATTTGTTTATTATTTTTATCGATTGGTATGATAGATTACTTAGAAAAGCTATCGAGACCATTTCTAGTAGTGTATTTCATAAAGCACGAAGAATAGTGTGAAGAAAATGTACTTCTGTTTCTAGCTTTCAAGAAAAGCAAATCAGTGATGTCAGCTCTGTGTTCATGTATTTGGCATTGTCAATTGGAGATGATATCACGAAATCCCGTTCGATTTCTAATTTAATATGTTCGAATTAATCTTGTCACAAAACGTCTATTAAATCTTGATTTTAGTCTCAGCAACTAGTTCCTGATGATGATCGAATTGAAGTATTGCAAAAGAAAGAGAAGGCTTTTCTTCGTCAGATTTTCATGTGACAATGTTTAGCTTTAGCTTCGCTGACATTCATCAAACATCATACGATTTCTTCTTCTTGTTATTTCATCTTGTGTGGATGCTTAATCATCCATTGTAATGTTCGATTCGTACGTTAGTTTTTTTTTTCATCTCGTCTATCTAATCATAATAAATTCAAGAATAAGAAAGAGAGAAGATCAGATTTCATATTAAATGATACCTAACATTCGGTTGTCATTTCTTCGATGGTTAACACACATACACATAAAAATGTATCGAAATGAGATAAGAATACATCAAAAGACTCTTTCAATGTAATCATATGCGGTTAAATGAACCGCTAAATCACTTGTTGACAAAATAGCGAAAAAGAGAAGTCATGTCCTATCTACTGATTTACACATTACACAAGCGTTTCTTTTTACCTGTTCTGTATAATTATTTTTGATGACTTCATCATCCATGCTGGAAATTCTTCTAGATTATTGATTGATTGCCAATCGGAATCGTTGAATTGATGATCATGGACAGAAATCTACGGATAAAAATACACGAATGTTTATCATTAAGAAAAAGAATGTTAGTCGATGTAAAATAACTTATTCAAAGATAGTCAAATACACATCTATTTGCTCTCGTATTCTATAAGCTAGACAGACACACAAGATGAGATTGTCTCAGAGGAAGTATGAACAAATAGCTAAAAGAACGATGATGAGATTTTTTCGGCAACTAAGTTCTTCTTCTTCTTCTTCTTCTTCTCCTCTTCTTCTTCGTCTTTCTTTTGTTCTATTAGCGACGACGAATGACGATAATTATTCTCGGAAGAAAGATCTCATCACCATCATAGTCACGTACATAAAAACATCGGCTATCTCATTCGTTTGATTTTATTTCTATCGTGCAATATTCTCTTCTCTATTTACAATGCTTGTTTCTACTTAAGAAGTCAGAAGAACTATCCACTGACGAGATGTATAATTGATTCCATATCTTTTTTGATCTGGCATATCTTGATAAGAGCAACAAAATAACGTCGCTAGCAAAAATCCATAAATAACAGATCGAGAAAGTTCACTATGATTAGACGTTACGATTGACTTGCAAGTCATCTCGAACAAGTTTAACTCGAATTTTAACCGAAAACATTCGTCAAGAGACTTGCTCATGTGACGATCGCATGAAACTCGATGAAATGAGCACTTTTTTTTGCAAGACTAAATCACGGAAAGAAATATATTGCAAAGTCGAATATCCGTTCGAATAGTCAGCGTCTACGCAGATGAATAACGACACATTTGAATGTTATACGGAGATTATGTCGAGTACTATTTGTTTGATATAAAACATATATTCAGCGAGTAATAAGTGTATTGATCGAATCTCACAAGGGAATATGCTTTTCTTCGTTCTATTGTCACTGATCACTGGATGATAGACTCGATCGATATCGAAGTTCTTCTCGTCAAGCTGATCTATGTTATAATAAATAATAAAAATGCAGATTATCAGAAAATAATTGAATTCGTGTTTAGAAAAGACTGTTGGAGATGATGAAACCATCATCAATTATTAAACTATGCCATACATACATAGCTGACAGAATTAACCTCAATTTTGGAAACACTTCGAATGCGTATTGGCATCCGGTTAATACCTTCTGATAAATAGAACAACGAAACTGATTTTTAAATCGTGAATAAATCTTTGGAAAGAACAACTGATTTTATTGTGTACAATGAAAACATCGAGTAGTTACGACAAACACAAACAGACAATATGGAAAATAAATATATGTATATATTCGTTTGACAAACAACATTTAGATAAATAAAATAAACCAGTGAGATCACCGTACCATCCATTCACCAAGGTTAAATCAATCTCACTCGATCGGATGACTTCATTGTTTATCATCAAGTTCGCCTTCGTCGGAATTGACTGTTTCCAAAATACTTACCGTGCGGGATAGGTATTTTTCACTTGAGGATCTTGTCGCGTGGTTGCCCGAATCGCTTTGGATTCGTTTGCGTGCTCGTGGTGTTGCTAATGATGATTGTCGTGCTAATTGAGAGATAGTTCGTTTCGGATAATACAACTTCGCGTCCGAAACCATGCGAACAAACATCGGTCGTGATCGTTTGTCTTTCAGCAGATTTGATACTGGCTTTTCAAATGTTACACGATGATGTGGAGTCATTGTTGTTATCGTATTAGCCTAAAATTATCAATAAAGATGTTTTTTTTTACTTCGATATCAAATCAACCTCGCTTATTTACTCGAGCTTTCATCGGTGAAAAAGTGGTTGGAGCAACTGGTGTTTCTGGTAATACCTCCGGATCACCAGTTTCTTCTGATACAGCTGTATCATGTTCAGTATTCGTTATAGCAGCATTTTGTTTTGCATTTGCGTCAAGAGAATCATTTGATGATGAATGCCGACTATTGCGCTGGGCACGATATTCTTCTAAAACATCATCCGCGTGTTCTTGAATGATGCGAAACGCCACGTGCATGTCATCGTCATTGGCGTATTTGGCACAAACAGCAAAGCGAACGATATAGATATCATTGACCATTGACGGTACCATATGGATACAGCCAGAATCATTCAATGATAAAAGTAACTTTTGACTTAGTTTATTACTGCCCTAGAATTAGTCGAGTGCATAAAAGGAAGATATGAACGAGAAAATCAATGGTAACGTACTTTTAAACGGAAACAAACGAGACCTAATGTTACACCACCAACGATCTCAAACCGATTATCAGTGCTGATCAACGAAGCAAAGACTTTTGCCAGCCGACAGTGCTAAAAGAAGTAAACAAATTATAGATTAAAACCATTGATGAAGGATGGAACAGTACTTCTCGGATATAATGACGAAGACCTTCAATACCATAACTACGAATCGTAAACCAAAGTTTAAGTGAACGAAATCGACGACTCAGCGCAACACCCCAATGCTACAATCAGTAGACTCGGTTTGATTTACTTTCTGCAGCAAATCAGTTCACTTACTCGGTAATCTACTGCTTTCTGTGCATGTTTATGTTGAAGGTAGAGTGGATCTACAGACATAGCGTTAATCAACGCAAATTTGTCTCGAACCCTTTTGTTAAAAATAAAAGAATTCTTTCAAAACTCAAACAAATGAACTTTTATCACATACCAAAAACATGAACAATCGAAATTCATCAGTAACCATTTATTTGGATTAGTATTGAAAGAATCTGCATACTAAAATATAAGAATACGATTCTACTGTCACAAATCGGTTACAAATCATACATGTAAACCTTTCATAATGTATCGATGTTCTTCACAGAGAAAAGCACTGCCAGCATAGGCACCATCGACATGAAACCAGAGTTTTTCACGTTGACATATTTCACCAATCTCTTCTAAATTATCATACGAACAACATGAAGTTGTTCCCACTGTGCCCGAAACCTAGTGGAAAGCAAAGTCAACATCTTCAAGTTTGACTCGACGAAACAGAGACTACAAACCAGAAATGGTATTAATCCCTTTTCTTTATCAGCTCGAATACATTCTTCTAATGTTTTACCACGTAGTGAGAAATGCTCATCCACAGCTAATTGTCGTACACGAACCATTGCGATAAGGCCCGCTTTTTCTACACATGAATGTGCCTGAAAAAACAATCAACAGTAATCCATTATACTGGCATTCTATTCAAAATCGTACCAATTTCGATGTGTAACAAACCAATCGAGCGAGAATTTGACCATCTTCCATAAGTGGATCGGCTAGACGTTTACTCGTGATTTTCTTTGTACGTGCAGCTAACATTGCCACGAGAATACATTCACTTGCCGAACCCTAAAATGATTATTTTATTTCGAGATTTGACAAAGAGAAAATTCTCTTCTGAATATTCCAATGATCATCTTACGAGTAGTACGCCACCGCCGATGTGTCGCGTTTGCTTTTGTCCGTGACCATTACTCATTGTTTCATGTAGGTTATCTCCGCTGGATTCTTCATCACTTTCAGGTGACAATTCCTCTTCTTCTTCTTCCTCCTCCTCTTCATCATCACTGTCTTTATTATCACGTTTCGGATCGAATGGAAGAAAACCGACCGGTAATGCCATCATACGACCTAAGAGACAAGTAAATGAGGGTTTTGTATTAAACGACGTTGGGTTCAATATCCTACCAATCCAATCGAGCATGATTGTTTCCAATTCCGTACAAGCCGGACTTGCTGCCCACGAAAACCCAACAATTCCAAGGCCAGACGACAGCATGTCACCCAGTATGGATGGATAACTGTTACCAGCTGGAAAATAGGCATGAAAACGTGGATGTTGCCAATGAGTAATGCCGGGCATGATAGTTCTTTCCAGATCTTTCATGATATCATCCCATTTTTCACTCTTTTCTGGTGCATTCTTGGGCAACATTGGTCGTAGGTAACCTGGTTCAACTTCGGGTGTCACTCGACGGTCACTACGAGTGAATCAAATGTGTATTTCGTTTGCGATACTTTTTCGGAGCATTACCTGATGTTTTTAAGATAATCGGCAATGTAATCAATCATTTCCTTCCCTCGACGTCGAAACTCCGCATCATCCATACCTGGCACCGACGTTGTAGATTCATTTTGTAATGGAGACGGACTTTTGAGTAGATCAGCATGCTTATCTTTGATGGAACTATTAAAAATAGGGAGAAAAATTAGGAATTTGTTGGATAAAATCGGATAAACGAACGCCTTTCTCATCAAGCATCTTCTTGGTATCGGATTTTGTTGCTGATTATGATAGGAGAGAGAAAGTGTTACTTGTGCAACTTCAATCATCTCGCTGATTGTAATATGTGTAAAGAAGAGGAGATGAATGACGTTCGTTTCTTCTTTTTTCGTAATCATCAACAGATTTTCATCTATCTGGATCTGATTTTCTTCGTCGTTAGATGCATTTCAGTTCAAACGAACGAGTCTTACTTTTCGCGTTTCGACATATCGTTTGTTTTGATTGAGATTTGTCGAACGATTCGAGGAGTGGTACGACGTTGTTCGCCTGGTGATGGAACTATTCGATCAAAGAACGTTGATAATGAATTGGCTTCAGGTGCAAACGATGATGATGGCGCTGAAGACGACGCTGTTGACGTCGCTGAATTAGGATGAAAAAGATTCGATAGTTTATTATAAAGTGTGCCCAAGCCTTTATCCATGTTGATGAAACCGATGAATCAATCTAATGTTGATTGGATTTTTTCTTCGATGTCGTTTTTCTCGCTACTGCGTCGTTGATCAAACATCCTGGATAAGCAAGAAACAACTCGAGTTTTTCTCTCTTGTGCACTCATTTATCGTATGCTTGCTCACATACTTGAACATTTTTTTCTTATGACAACAATAAAATGATGGGTTCAGAGAGAAAACCGATTAAAATTCATAGTTATTTCTTTCTCTCGCTGTGCTCTGTTGATTAGATGCCGATTTCTAATAGTCAAAGAAAGACGTGTTGTTTTCAATAGGAAGAGAGAGAGAGAGAGTGAGAGAAAAGGACATTCGTCAGTTGAGCAGGCGGTAAACGACGTCCTGATGAACAAATATAGTCAACTTCTATCAAGTCTACGCGCTGGATAATATTAGGTCGGAAGTTTTGCTTTATTTATCCAAGAACTTTAACGCCCACCATCGAAGAACGATGTGTATTATTTTTCTTCATTGCTTCTTCAACGAACAACTTCCTGGGTATGTGTGTATTGTCTAAGACGGAAATAACTTGTTCAATCGATTAAAAACTGACGTGAGAAAAAAGGCGAAAGCAGCAATCCATTTCAAATCACATCTTCTATCGATTTTCTTTATTATTATTATTAAAGAAACAAAAGAAAAACAAGAAACCATCGAAGAAACAACGTAGTAATCCTATCTATATACAATATGTCGGGGGTAAGCCAGTGATCAGGGTTTAAACAAACTCATCGAACTTTGTTTACGTTTCTGTCGAGCAAACGCGTACATCAGTTCCAAGACTGATGAAGGAGAAAATGAGGCTTTAGTTTCGTTATTCGCAGGTGTACCCAATGATTTCGTATCATCGAATGTTGTAACTGTTGGTAAAATATTCTCTTCTGTTTGTGGTAAAAGTCTAAATGAAAACTCTTGTTAAATGAGAACACAACCAACGAAATGAATTACTTGAAAATTTTATTATTATCTAAAAATTGCTTGGGATCATTGGCACCTGTTCGACTAGAATCTTCTTTTATATCAGAAAAGATTTTGGCATTGTACAGTGATTGAAGAATAGTCATGGCTTGTGTTCTATGTGAATAAAGAAGAAAAAAAGAAAAGATCGAATCACATTGCTCGAAAGACTTTTTGTACTTACCGTGTAACCGACGAACTACTTTCACTACCCGACGCTTGTTGTTGTAAAATCTCTAACATACATGTGATGGCATCTGATGATGAAAAACAATTTTGATATGTTTTGAAGAAGTGACGTTTCTTTTTCAATTTGATCGATGAACGAAAATTTTGAACAAGATTATTCCACTAGAAAATACAAATTTTCGAAAGGAAAGAATGAAATCCATGAAATAAATACCATTTTTGTTGCTCGAAATTGAGTTGTTCTTGGTTTTTCATACATGATTATTGAGATGGTATTGAATTGATTGATTTGATTTCGTGCGAATGCGAACGAATGAAAGGACAAAGACGCGCGGTTCGACCGTTCATTGTCTAAACCAGTCAATTCGTTGAACATACGAGGGCGCCAGTTGTTTTCATTCATTCGTTCTTTTTCGGAAAGCTTCCGTTTGTATTTTGATTGATTGCGGACTCAGCGATGTGATCTTTGTCTTTTGGTTCTATCAAATCTCTTAGATAGAACGAGTTCGGACTGGAGCCTCGTTCAGAGATCAACATGTTCTTCAACATTTGTTTTCGCTGAAAATTAATATTCGGCTGTAAACTAAGACTTAGATTGATCTGTTCATTAGCATTTTGATCAACTCGACGTACTTCACATCAATAGAATATAGAACGTCCTTGATATGATGCCCTTGACAAAATAGCCTTGAAAATCGTCCCCTGGAAGAAAATATTTCTCTTGTTTCGTCATATCTTATCTCTCTCTTGACAAAATTTGACTCAAATCGAAATATCGAGTTGAAAAGTTCTACTCTCGCATTGTCTGATAATGAATTCAAGTGCTTACACAGTAGGTCCATATCAGTAAAAGTCTTCTGTGCAGAATGTTCTCCTATCGTATGTAAGACAGAATGGAGTTTGTTTAATCGAATTCGTTTCATTTTATTTCAAACAATCAATTACACATCAAAATTGAAATCAATACGTGCAAAGAGAAGAATCAGTTGAATATCTAATTTTCTCATACATCTATTCAAATGAATTCAAAAGAGAGAATACTACCAACAACGATCAGTAATAATAATAACAACAACAAAATGAAGAAGAAAAACGAGTTTTTCGTGCGAGAGAGAAAGAGAGAAGTAAACAACAACAATATTAATAAAGACCAGAGATTATGCGGAGAGGAATGTCATTAATCTTGAATAAAACCAAATGATCGAAGGGTTTTGATTAACGATGAACAACAAAAGCGGCTAAGTTTACGGTATGGAAATGAGCATGAACATTGCCGGTAATAGTCATTAGGGAGGCTTAAAACGATAAGGTGATTCGTTCGATACGATCGTTTCCGTTGATGATAAGTCGGAACCAAGATCATTCGCTTTTTGACTTTTCAAACGATCTGATTGTTTCTACAAAAAGCAAAATGTGAGTTTAGCCACCAAAGCTTTTCCTGCTTACTTTCAGTAGAGTTGAAAAATAATCAAATTTGAAGAGAAAAACTGGTTGATCATCCATGTAACTTTCCTTCGTTCCCGCCGGTCCGTTCAACGAACATGCTGTAAAAATGCATGTCAATACAATAAACGCGGCAACATAGCAAAGCCAGAGTGTTGAATGATGATAGCCAGGTATGTTAATATATTGTTCACATATCAGCCATAGACTGCGCCAGATTTGAACGACACTAACAAATGCCATCAAATGAAAAACATTTGAAAGGATTGTGTAGAGTATTTGAGGAGTTTTCTTCATAAAACATTGAATTATTGGTATTTGTAAAAGTGCAAGAAGGAAAAACAAGGAATAACCAATTGCAAATGAGATTAACATTGACATTGTCTTGTTATCTGGATAGATATAGATATCTGAGAGGTTGTACAAACCGCGCCAGGCAATGACAATGAACGGAGCTTCGACGAGTTCATAAACAGTAAAATCGCATGTATATTGCCAAAATCGACGTGTCTAGAGGAACAAGCTGATTAGATTTCGGTTCAAGTATATGTGAACTTACCGAAACAACAAATTTCGAATCGACCAGAAAATAATGTTCGGTATCCGTAGCGATTAAAAATGGTGCGGAATTAAGATTATAAACTGCTTTCATACATAAAAGTACGACAATACTGATGAGCGTCTCGATGGTCAGTCGATACCAATTGTTACTTGTTAAATCCAATAAGTTCCACAGGCCACGCCATTGATTGATGTATGCGAATGCCACGATTAGCGTATAGAATCTTGCCATGATCTGCCCACGAAGATTTTTACGGTGTTTTTCATAGAAGTTTTGGAGGAAATTTTGCATGAGATAGATCAAATAAAGAACGAAGAGACCAATAGCTAGTGAAACAAGTGCGCTTGTATGTGGATGTTCAGGTAGAAGATATATATCAAGTAGGTCCCATGCTCCGCGCCAATGTATGTTAACGAGCGGTGTTATGACGAATGCTGACATAAACATATCCATGAAATAGATTTTGATGAATGAATAGTAATTGCTTTTCAACGGATGGGTCGAATCAGTCGGGGATTTGATTTTCACATCTTCGGTGTAGAGAGGAGTTGAGTGTGTTTTTCCATTGAGAAGTGGTCGAGCAAGACTTGTTTCACTGCTTGATGTACTTAAGTTGAGGTATGTTTCATATTGAGGAATAAGACGTGTGGTCGATTGCGATAAATCATCTGTGTTGACTGAATCATTATCATTTGGATTAATTTCTATACTAGTAAATTGATGAACAACGCCGTTCAGTTGAGAGAAATTGATATCCGAAGATGGGGTGAGAAAGTGATCTTCATCTTCGGATGGCGTTGTCGATCGAATCATCGATTGGTAATCAGCTGAATTCGAACTGAAAGAGAAAACATCATGTCGATGATTTTGTTTTTCGTTTCTGATCGGTCTTGACTTACGTGTTTATAATCTGTGCCATACAACCAATAGTAGGAATACCAGTAGGTATAGCTGAAGGCAAAGCCGAGTGAATCTACGACGAAAGATAGCCCGACTAGATGCAAAGTCAAATCATTGCCGAACTTACTTTCAATGTATTCAAATAACGATAGGCATAGCATGACGCTGATTTTTAAAGAGCGTTGACCAGAAACTTAAAAACATCCAATCTAAAAGAACACAATTTTCATCTTCATCACCGTCATTCAATTTAACTTACCACCCGAGAACGTTGGTTCACAGAAGAAAGCCACTCTATTAGTTTATTTGGAAAAAAAATCGACAATAAAGCGTTTGTTCTTATCTAGAAAATATCTCCACGATAAATAATATGTTCGGAAGGGTATGTGACACAAGTAAATAAATGCTGACAGACTTTGGAGTATTAGTAGTCAGAACGAGAAAAAAAAGGATTTCCCATCGTTGTTTTTCTTTTGGAACGTCAGTGGGTGCAAAAAGGAAAAGCTAGGAAGATGAGAAAAAGAACGAACTCAATCAAGAAGACGCGCAACAAAGCAACGAGTGTCGATTGGAGGAATTTGCTTCTTGACGGCTATATATCAGAATCTTGTGATCTACGTAAATGACGTCATGAGAAAAAAAAACGTCACGAGAAATGACGTTTAAATATAAACAGGTTTTTTCATTTGCTTGGAAAATAATTCTAAGTTTTTAGTTCTAATTCATTGAATCGATAGAGGACTCTAGCAGACATCACAATGAAACACAAAAAAATCTCCGTGTAGTAATACATACTTGCGTCTGTTACTAATACATCATATCAATGAAATACCCCTGAAAAGTGTGTCATAGTTTCATTATTACGAGGCAATCATGTGTAACGCAGGGTAGGCGGCCGCTTGATAATTTTTATCTATCGATAGTGGGTATTAGTATTACTTGGTAGTTGTAAAGTAATAATGAGGAAGGAGAAATGAATGGCAAAGGTGTAGTACGCACTATTAAGTTGTTTATGTGCATGGTTTCTGATTAAAGTCATCTGATAAATACATAAAAAATGTCATGTGGAAACCAAATTATGTCATTTTCTGAGATACACAGAGTATATAGACATATATGAGTGATAATTATTGTTTTTGACAGTGATGAGAAGGTTTCGATCTGCAATACGTCAAATTCGTCTAATTTTCTGTGCAATTAATCATCTTCAATTAGTATCCGTGCGATTCAGTAAAGTAAGTATTGCAGAGAATGGATTGCTGTTAGTATAATCGATGTTTTCCTATAATGGAACAAAGATCAAACAACTTGCGAGTCCAACTGTGTGTTTACGAGAACAGTTTTTCTTATTAATGTATATTTTCACTTTTTCTTAATAAACAGTAACAACAATACAATACGAACAAAAAAATCAAGATTGACTAATATGGAACAGTGGATCATTTGGATTGTAATCTGACATAGATAAGGCAAATAAACACCGGAGAAAGGAGATATGTGAAGTTGTCGTAAAGTTCATTCGTTGGTTCAATCTTCAGCACCACTACTACTATCGAATTTGAATTTCAGTGGCGATTTTCGACTGAAGTCAATAAGTTAAACGTTTGATTACAATGAATGAGAGCATTACTTACAAGTACACATGATTTTCATTAGTTTCGTCATCGGAATCAGTAGGGAAAAGACGAATACGAAGTGGATCACCAGTAACTGGCGGTGGTGGTGGTGTTCTAGGTAATAACAAAGCAAACTAATCCGTGAATTTTCTTTCTAGTTCTTCAACAATCACTTACAGTTGAGAATGATCATGAATCGAGAGTTGTTTCATTTCATCTAAAAGCGCACGGATATAGAAACAATGAATCGATAAGTTTTTCTCTTACCCTCCGAATGTTCATCATGATAACCGCCGTAATTAGGTGGTCGTTTGGCTTTTTTAATCGGCGTTCGACAACCATGACTAATCAGTGAATCGCTTTCATGCATGGGTGATAGCGTCTAAAAAGAACTAATGAAAATAAACAAGTATGTTGTTTCCTCCAAATGTACCCGTTCGTGTCGATGTTGATCGAATGCAAATGGTGAAATCATTTTGCAAATCTAGACAAATTGCAACTTAAAAGAATGCACATTTAGCTTTGATTACTTCTTCTCGAATTGTAGGACTGTCGAGTACTTGCTTCGCTGTTGGTCGCGATTGATAATTCGAATGGATCATTCGAAAAAGAAGTTCTTTCAGTTCGAGATCAGTTAAGACCGACACGATTTCATTAGGTAATCGTAGTTCTCGGATATCTGTCCAAACATCACCATTCACAGGCATATCATAATCACTGACTAGTTCCAATGCTGCTAAGCCTAGACTGAAGACGTCGGCAGCCGGTGAAATCATCCCTGAGAGAACTTCAAAAGCCAGATAACGCGCATCGCCATCCTGTGCTAACGTTGAAGGCTGAAATATAAAAAAAAAAGATAACTGTTCGATTCTCTTCGAAGGAAATAGAAACGCATTACACTTCGTAGATCATGTACAATACCAAAATCACATAATTTAAGGATTCCATCATTAGTTATCAGTATGTTTTCAGGTTTAACCTATCATTAAAAAGAAAGATTATTTCCTTGATTGGTAAAAAATATGAATACATACATCCATGTGAACATAAAACAATGAGTGAAGAAAATCAAGCGCCTAAAGGATGAATTCTCTTGTAAAAATATCAATTGAAAAATCTTTATTCATACTTGACTCGTTTGATACAGGAAATGCCAGACCATTGGTTGTGTAATTTGATGTTCGGTGGCATATTCGAGTAAGCTTAACAGAGAAGTTGATCTTTCGAGCATTGAATATACGATGTTCACTTACTTGCCACGACAAAGTTCAGTTTGAATATATAAACGTTCGCGTTCTTCCCATGCATGAATAATTTTGAGAATATTCTGATGAGTTGCCAATGTTTCATGGAAACGAACTTCTTTCAACTTTTGATCACTGCGAAATGATTGAAATATGTTCATATGAGACAATTCTTCCTGGACAAAATCTTACCGATCTGATTTGCCACGAAATTTCGTTAATGAACGTTTAATTGCATACAATTGATCATCTTCTTTATGACGAACTTTGTAAACCTGAATGAAATCAAAAATAAAAATATCCAGTTGGAAAAGAATTCATCGAGTACTTCGTACATAACACACACCATGTATTCCTAATTGAAATGTTCTTCTTTTTTCGAAGGAACAATAATCGAAATACTCAATATTAATTAAATCTCGAGTGTTTGTCACGCGACTGAAGACCTTAGTGTCAGACTGAAATTCTTCGTTTCGAACTTACTTCAGCAAATGAACCACGGCCGAGACATTCAAGATGTTCAAAGCATTGATCCCAATACGTCGATGCAATAGTTTTTGTATAAAATGGACTTTCCAAAGCTGAAACAACAGGATGAATAGGTATAGAACGAGCTTAACAGTACAAACATACCAACACCAAATGTTTTTGAACTAACTGAAACCGCATTTGCTACACGAGTAGCAGCTGGTGTGAAATATCGATAAACACGACATGAAACAGGTTTTGGTGGTTGATTTATTGGAATTCTTCGACGACTGATCTGGAAAGTATTTCAATCATCAATGCATACTAGTTGATTTTGTCGTTTTCCTACTTTTTTGCTCGAGAATACATGAAAGGAACTATTTGATGTACGCTCTGGTGAAAAGATCAATTCCGTTTCCGTAGTCATTCTTGTTTCATGTGATAAAGTCATCAAAACAGAATCTTGAAAACAGATAAATAGAGAATAAAAGAATATGACATTTTCTTTTATAAGGTTGAGAGCAAAGAAGATAAAGCCGTTAAGGAAAACACAATGTGTGAACAACCATCTCAAAAGCAAAAGCGATTTCATTCTTTCAACTGAGTAGAATGACGTGAAATCGAGTAATATGTATCATACGATTCTATTTCAAACGAGAAAGTCTATTTTTTTTTGTTTCTGATTGCAATTGTCGATACAATCCATATCTATTTCATCGAGAATTAACGTCACAACTATGTTCGTCGTAACATTTTCTGTAGAACAAGACACAGTCTGTACCTTGTATATTTGCCGTCATTATGTACAACGCAAGAATGAAATCTAAAAATGACATGTAGACATTTGATTTTGTCATCTCATTGTTTTTATAAATTCTATTATTAATTGTTCATATCACACACATAAAAAAAGAAGAAAGAAAAAGAAAAAAGAAAACTTCGCTTTTTTTTTCTTTTGTTCAAACAGAATCAGAAGGCAACAGACGGTGTTTGGTTTTTTAATAATTAATAACACACACATATGACAAATAAGAGCAAGACATCGTGTGTATACGTATGTCCGTAAGTGTAATGTACGAGAAAAAAAAATAGAGGAGGAGAACAACATCAATAATAACAACAGAAAGAGAGAGAAAAACGAAAGAAAAAATACAATTAGTCGAGCCCAATGAGCAAAAAGAGAAGAGAGAGATTCTTTGTTTGTACAGGCGTAAATTAGAAAATAGGAGATAAATAATCAAGAGAAAAAGAGAGGAAAAGAAACGTGTGCTCACAAACAACGTGAGATACATGTTACTCTTTTGATTTCGAAGATCACCAATATGGTGGTGGTTGACCACTATCGACACTGAGATTTGATGGTGGTGCTTGTAGATCATTGAATTGAGAGGCAAACTGTGGATCATTTGGTGGGTATTGTTGTTGAAGATCAGGTAGATTTCCCGATGATGCATGATAGTGAATTGTACCTGGCGGGAGTTCACCTGATGGTCCCCCGGGACCTAGATTTTGAATGTTTAACTGTTGAATAGACATTGTTGCAGACACGTAGGTATTATTTATTGATTGTGGTGGGGGAGGTAGTCTGCCATCGTTGGCATGCATCGGATGATGAGAAGGATGCATATGTGGATGCATGTGAGAATGATGAGGTGGTGGTCCCATAGCAAAATTATCGTCCATCATCGGCGAAAAACGCATATGTTGTTGTTGATGACCAGGTGGTGGTCCGAGCAGTGGATCCATATTATGCATTTTAAGATAATGTGGAGGCGGTAAATGATGAAGATGTTGTTGCATTGGATCGGATGATGGTAGCATAGGTGGTAAGCCTTTTGATGAACGTGTTGGACCGCCATGATGTGGCATTAGCATTCCATTTGGATCCATGCCAGGATGTGGAGGCATCATTTTGTACATGTGTGGATGTGGCGGTGGAAAATTACCAGGATGATGTGGATTGAAATGAGGTGGCATCGAATCCGGCGGTCCTAACATACGATGATGAGGATTCATATTCTAAATGTAGAGAATATTCATTAGTGATTGGAGTGAACGATAGAGAGAGAAACCATATACCTGAAATTGCATATGCTGTGGTGGTATATTCGCATGATCCATTGGTTTGGACATATGTGGCAGGTTCGGGCTGTTCATTGATTGTTTAGAGCTTTGATTACTTGATGGATTGTAGGGAGAACTGGATGATTGTAGACTGTTGGTCATCTGAAGCATACTGCTTAGAGGTGGTGCCATATTTGATGTTGGCGTTTTTGGATCACTATTAATATCTAAGGGTTCATCTTTGGCTGAGTTTGTATTTGACATCATTAATGGAGATGACAGGTTATTGCTGCTTGTTAATTTTGATGAACGCGGTGAAGCAGCAGGAACACTCTGCGATATCATTCCTTGTGGATGATGTGTAGGCGTGGTTGAACCGGATAGTTGTTGTTGCTGTTGCTGAGAGGACGGTTGTCCTGATGGTAAAACATTAGAATTGTTGTTCGGTGTTGAATTTGAACGTCCCGATGGTGTCATTGGTTCATCTTTGCATGATGAAGATGAGCCTGGGCCGCCACTTGTTCCGTTGCCTGGTCGATAAGCTCGATTCAAGTGTCTAGTAATTATCAATTCTTCACCTTCCATACCTAGAGATGAGAGAAAAGAAGAAAAAGTACATAGACGATATCGAATGAAACATTCTCTATCATACCAAATTCATTGTAGTCCATTTGTGTTGGCGATGCTGTTAGTTGTACTTCACCGACATCGCCAGGTAGTTTCTTGTTTCCTGATGGTAAAGAATCTGGAATGAATTTTTCTGGTTGACCAACTTTATATAGCCGTGGCATTGCGGACGGATCCATTCGAGGTGATATCAATTTACCATTCGCTCCTAAACTACCACCCATTGACGTTGATGCAATTGGTGGCGTCATCGATGATGGTGACGTTGGGCAATATGGTGGTGGATGTCCACGCATTTGATGAGCTTTTCCTTCGAGATGTTCTATTTGCATTTTATTCCAATCTCTGACAGCTTGCGACTGTGGATGGTGTGGAGGTAACGGTCCATATGGATCACCAGGACCGGGTCCAAACTGTCCATGAAAGCCAGGTGGCATCGGTCCATTCATATAGCCATGTGGTAGCGGTGGTGCACCATTCATGTCAAGCATCATTCCATCGGGTCCTCTCATACCTGGCGGTAGCATATGAGGAGGTGGTGGTCCAATTCCCATCATATGGTGTGGTGGACCAATACTGTGTGGACTGTTCATCATCATCATTTGCTGTTGATGTGGATCAAGTGGACCACCGTTCATCGAAGGTGGCATATTGGCAACGGCGGCAGCATTGGCTTTCCCTCTTCCACCACGACCGCGTCCACCAGTGATTTTTGATTTGATCTCCTGTATCTTATCTAGCTGGTTCTTTCGATGTTTGATTCGTTCAGGTGTTAAATTATCAATACTGTCTGGCGATGGTTGTCCCATGCCTGGCATAGGCGGCATTCCACCCATACGCATACTAGGCGGTGGCGGTGAGCCGTTCATCATCATCGCACCCGGTGGTAGAAGATGACTTGGTGGAGGTAAACCACCAGAACCGGGTGTTAAACGACCAAATGGTGGTTGCTGTTGATGATAATGTGGATGTGGCCAGTTTGGTGGTGGACCATTACTACCATTATGAAGTGGTATGTGAGGATTGTGATGTGGTGGACCAGGCATCATCATTTGCATAGATCGTGGTGAAGGACACCCGGTTCGTGGATTCATATGAATTGGACCACCAAGTAATGAATTATGGTTGTTATTTGAAAGAGTCTAAAAAGAAGAAGAATAAACTCTATTGATTACTGAAGAGATTCCAAAGGGATATCTAATCGTTTTCTTATTCTTCCCCTTTCTTCTTCTTCTTCTTCTTCTTCTTCTACTCAATTACAGACATTTCCCTCGAGTTTTTCAATCATCTAAATGACATTTTTATTATTAACTACGAATACGTATCCATTTGTTTCAGAATGTTAACTTACTGATATATATTGAGCAGTACTTGGTAAAGATTTATGATATTCAATTATATTTGGATGCTCGTTTTTCAATACCGATTCTGCCGCATCGTTAGCTAATTGTGTTGTGAATACAAACACTTGATTATTTGTTTGTAAAAATGGACTATCACTGGTTACGCTATATTGATTACGTGGTGACATCGCCATGTAAGATGACGGTGGTGGATGTGATTGTTGTTGTTGCAAAGACGGTAGAGGAGGCGTTTGTCGTGTAAGTAACGAGGAATTTGGCGTTGCACGACCAGCATTCTGAGTTGGTGGAGCAAATTCATACGATCCAGAACCGATATCACTGCCATTTCGTCCTGAGGGTCCGTTGGATAGAGCTATTTAGAAAGAGATTAAGAATTAACAGGAACTATGTTATCTAGCGTGACTTACGAGTTCCTGTCCTGCTTAGCGAACGTTCTGGCTCGGTCTGTTCAATTTTTTGTGGTTTAACAGAAGGTGACGACGCAAACTCGGCTGACGATGGATCACCCAACTCATCTAGTTTACGCTTATTTGTTTTATTATTTGCTGGTCTTGATGCATAGATATCAGAATATTGATTCATGGGAGAATCTGATGGAGGATTTTGTTGATGAGATTCGCTGGTATGTAATAACATAGTTGCCGAAGGTAATATTCCACTGTCCATCCCATTATTCACTAAAAACTAATGAATATATTTGTTGTTGAGGAAAAAAATCGATGATTGTGATAAGACCAACTGATACATACCACTATTGTCAACAGACGATGGTCCTTGTTCTTGTGTAGCAGTTATGGAAACTGACGCAGCCGTTTTGGCCTTTTTAGCGTTATTTTTCATTCGTCTAGATCATTTGCATCTATTCAAATCCAATCTGAAATCTACATACAAAAAGTAACCGATGATGAAAACGTATTTTGAGATTTTCTCTTGGTTTTTGCTTCATGTCAAACAAGTAAAAGTATACACATTCGTGACACGTTCACGTACGTATACCATGGAAAGAGAAGGAGGAGAAAAATGTCAAAAAAGAACAAATAATGGGTTGGCTCTCTGTCTCTCTTACGCTCAATCTGCCGTCCGATAGTACGCTCTCTTTCTCACTCACTCACTCACTCATACACATACACACGCACACACACATTCGCTTCTTCCATTCATCGTACTCGTTTGCTAAACACATCCAACAACTGTTCAAACTGAAAAGAGAACGAGGAAAAGAAGAAAAGGAAGAAGACGATGAAGAACGAACGTATATGTGCACGAGTGCGTTGAACATCATTCATGCTTCGAGCAAATTACACGAACAGTAAAAAGAAAAAGTAGCAGCATTCTCGGTCCACATCACGTGAAAGGCGAACTAGAATAATAA